AAGGAGTGAAGGACAGTTGCAATATGGGGCCCCATCAGTCAATGATTATCCCTCCGTCCAGTGTCACACTCAACCATGAGGGGTGGAGGGGAAGGAGGAGGTAAGAGAGGTTTCGCGACTAAAAACTTTTGTGTGAGCTGCGAAAAAAGCAACTTAATAATAATGCAGTCAGCAAGTGTAAAATTTACGAAATTCACAAATTAATTTTAGTATTCCATAAGAGAGATTATAGTTTTAATTCTTCTGTTTGTTGCTGTGTATATATAGACTGGTGGTGAAGGAGATAGTTCCACCAGCCGTCAGTGAGTGGAGACCTCTGGTGGTGATGGCCAACCCTCGCAGTGGCGGGAACGACGGTGTCAAAGTACTCAGTACTTTCAGAAAACTTCTCAACCCAATCCAGGTACGTATGTACGTAGGGTGGGAATATTCACTGGTTTGAGTGTTCCGTGTGCAGATTGAGTTGCAATGAGACCACGTGTGTGTGTAAAAATGTGGAACACGAGAATCTCTCTCACTGTTTGGTTAACACCCCCACATAATATATAATGGACATTCTGGGGTTTACTCATCATCCCCCCTCTCTCCCCCCTGTAAAGGTGGTGGATCTATCGGAGACTCCACCTGAGGCGGGACTGGAGATATGTCGTCTTCTCCCACAGCACACCTGCAGACTCCTGGTCTGCGGTGGAGACGGTACTGTAGGCTGGGTCCTCAGCTCTCTGGACAAATGCCAGATGACTGTGAGTCCCCTCTAATAGACACCATCCATAGGTTAACAATAGGTTCTCGAGATAGCAAGAACATCGATTAGTTTCTCACGCTAATATACTTCATAATCCTTCCAAATTTTCATGCAGATACATAGATGCACATGCAAAGCCAAACAGTTGTAACCCTTAATGTTCATATTCAAGCATATTTAAGGATTGACGAGCTTCGTAACGTAACTGTCTAATGAGGTATCCAAACTTTATACAAATGGCTGTATTCTTTGTTAGTTGTCATTGATTCACACCTACTCGACGAGTGTATTCCCATAACAGAACTCTCCAGAGGTGGCTATTCTACCACTGGGGACGGGGAACGATCTGGCGAGGGTCCTGGGGTGGGGTAAAGGCTACGACGATGAAGACATCAACGACATCCTCAAGGACGTCAAACACGCCCAACTGAGCATGCTGGACAGGTGAGAGAGATGCAACTGTACGTGTTGCAGGGTTAGTACACATCGGTCCACATGCCCAACTGAGCATGCTGGACAGGTGAGAGAGAGGCAACTGTACGTGTTGCAGGGTTAGTACACATCGGTCCACATGCCCAACTGAGCATGCTGGACAGGTGAGAGAGAGGCAACTGTACGTGTTGCAGGGTTAGTACACATCGGTCCACATGCCCAACTGAGCATGCTGGACAGGTGAGAGAGAGGCAACTGTACGTGTTGCAGGGTTAGTACACATCGGTCCACATGCCCAACTGAGCATGCTGGACAGGTGAGAGAGAGGCAACTGTACGTGTTGCAGGGTTAGTACATCGGTCCACATGCCCAACTGAGCATGCTGGACAGGTGAGAGAGAGGCAACTGTACGTGTTGCAGGGTTAGTACACATCGGTCCACATGCCCAACTGAGCATGCTGGACAGGTGAGAGAGAGGCAACTGTACGTGTTGCAGGGTTAGTACACATCGGTCCACATGCCAACTGAGCATGCTGGACAGGTGAGAGAGAGGCAACTGTACGTGTTGCAGGGTTAGTACACATCGGTCCACATGCCCAACTGAGCATGCTGGACAGGTGAGGAGAGAGGCAACTGTACGTGTTGCAGGGTTAGTACACATCGGTCCACATGCCCAACTGAGCATGCTGGACAGGTGAGAGAGAGGCAACTGTACGTGTTGCAGGGTTAGTACACATCGGTCCACATGCCCAACTGAGCATGCTGGACAGGTGGAGAGAGGCAACTGTACGTGTTGCAGGGTTAGTACACTCGGTCCACATGCCAACTGAGCATGCTGGACAGGTGAGAGAGAGGCAAACTGTACGTGTTGCAGGGTTAGTACACATCGGTCCACATGCCCAACTGAGCATGCTGGACAGGTGAGAGAGAGGCAACTGTACGTGTTGCAGGGTTAGTACATCGGTCCACATGCCCAACTGAGCATGCTGGACAGGTGAGAGAGAGGCAACTGTACGTGTTGCAGGGTTAGTACACATCGGTCTACATGCCCAACTGAGCATGCTGGACAGGTAACTGTACATACATGTTGCAGGGTTAGTACATCGGTCCACCAAGCTATACATTCAGTCCACATACACACGTGATATTTCACGGGCTCCACACAAACCGCACCAGTGAGAATGAAGTGTAAACAGAGTTTGATATGCATAGAGAAGAGCGCTTCAGACATCATTAATTAAAGGAAGACGGAAGCAGGGGGTTAATTTGGTTAATCCACCAGCTATATAATATTCCCTGCTGGTAGTGGTGACATTATGTTCTGCCAGGTGGGAGGTGAAGATTGAGTACAAGAAGTTGAAAAGATATCTTGGACTCAACAAAGGCACCAAGGTGAGAGATATGCAGTGTCATCATGCATCAGCATGTGTATCAGGGTCTTCAATCATTAGACTGCTTCTGTTATGAGCCACATCCTGTGTGTGTGTGTGTGTGTGTGTGTGTACTGTACTGTACTGTACTATGCTGTACTGTGCTTCAGGAGCTGATAATGAACAACTATTTGGGAGTCGGGTGTGACGCTGGCGTTGCTCTCAACTTCCACCGGCAGAGAGAGAGCAGACCGGAGCTGTTCCAGTCTCGCTTCATCAACAAGGTGACATGAGGGTGAAGACGCTATGTCAGAGTTGGACACTGAGGGATGACAAATGGGCTGTAGTCCCTACCTACAATTACACAGTAGTTGCAGATTTAGCAATTTTTCACTAGCGCTATTCCTACAGTGTAACAAAAATGGTATTTTTCACCTTATCTATTGCTAACCCACAATGGCTTACTTGTAGCAAGTTGTAATGTATATACTTCACTCCACCCTGTCTTACAGGCTTGGTACTTGGGATTCGGAGCCAAAGATGTCCTCCAGCAGTCCTGCAAGAACCTACCTCAGAAGATAGAGGTTTTCCTGGACGACGTACCTCAGCAGCTTCCCGGACTAGAGGGCGTGGTTGTTCTCAACATCAACAGCTGGTCCGCCGGCTGTAGCATGTGGAATCAGTCTGCCTCCCCCTCCAGGTGGGTGTGGCCTCACTCCAGTGGTGGGCGTGGTCAGTGGGTGTGGTTTCTCCCTCCACAGGATGGACGACCAGTTGCTGGAGGTGGTGGGACTCTACTCCTCGTTGCACGTGGGAAAGATTCAGGTGTCCCTGGGGGAGCCTCTCAGAATGGGGCAGGCCAAGCAGGTCAAGGTGAGTCGACCCGGGACTCCTCTCGCCTGTCCCGGGACTCTATACTCACTGTCCCATTAACTGGCTTGCGATTTGTGAAAGCAGCAATTTTTGGACTGTGGGTGGTAAAAATTTTGCAGCTTTTATGACCAAGTATGTAATTTTATAGTCAAAAACACCTTTCTTTGTGTCTATGGAGCAAGAATCCGCGAAAAAAAACTAGCACTATTTTTAGCATTGTCTTGACTTTCTTCTCTCTCTCTGTGTGTGTATGTAATGTCTGCAGATAGTGATACATGAGAGTGTGCCGGTGCAAGTGGACGGAGAGCCTTGGCTCCAGGTCCCCGCCACCATCACCGTCACTCACCATCAGCCAGGCACGCATGCTACGGAAAATCAGATCCTCTCCCAACCTATAGAAATCACCCACACCATAACTTGCACAATAGAGATTTAACGATTTTTTAAATTGGAGTGCAGCAATTTTCTGGTTTTACATGTTTTATTGCTGTAACTGTGTCCACCTTAGATTAATCAATTGATGATTTGTCGGAAATTGACACATTATCCATAAAATTACACACACGCACTGAACAAAGACAATTTGTGCTAGTTGGTAAAACTATAAAGACGCCTCTCTCTCGAGGATGTCCCTAAACCAGGGCCCAATGTCAGTGTCTTCAGTTTCAGTTCTCTTGATGAATGGGTCGTCTAGTAGCTGGTGGAACTTGGGTCTGTTTGACACTTCTTTTGTTAGACTGAGTGAGAGAGAAAGAGAGAGATCAAGAAAGAAGAAAGGAAAGGGGATGCAGATCCATGGGTTTTGCAAAGTTCAAATGTGGCGGTTTTGACAGAATTGAAGAGTTTGACAATAAACATGAAGTAAGTAGATAGAGAGAGAGAGAGAGAGTCACTATAATATTATCATGGTTATCGCATACACACCATCTGTGAATGAAGCTCCTGAGCTCAGGCGACACGGGGGCGGAGTCAGGCACGCGAGGTGGCCTCCCTTTCACCACCAGCTCCAGCTGTTTGAAGATGTCCACGTCTTTGGGGAACGGGTAGGGAAACTGGCCCACCGCCAGCTCAAACTGCACAGGATTCAGTTCAGAAACAGAGGGTTTACAACTCATAGAGCACTTTTGGGAACCAGCTCAAACTACACAGGATTCAGTTCAGAAACAGAGGGTTTATAACTCATAGAGCACTTTCGGGAATCGAAGAGTGTGCTAAAGAAGGCCAAATTATTGCGGTAAGAGTGACACATGGAAAAGTTATAGACTACTATCTCTCCCACTTTTTCATGGAGAGAGAGAGAGAGAGAGAGACATGGATGTTGAAGGTTTTCCACTGGTGATTGATTCCAGAGACTTACAAAAGTGATTCCAAAGCTCCATACGTCTGATCTCTGGTCAAACGAAGGATTGTCTGTCGGATTTATCCTCTCTGGCTGTATCCAAAGAGAGAAAGAGGGGGATTACCAGACTGGTTGACTGGACGTGTGCTCACCGCGAGGTAAGGTTTGCTGCCGATGTTGGTCTTGGTGAAAGAGTTGATTGTCTCGGCAGCGATGCCAAAGTCGCAGAGCTTCACCTGCCCACTCCTGTTGATCAGAATGTTGGACGGCTTCACGTCTGCAGGGAAAACACACAGAGAGAAAAGTTTACACATAACAAGCTTGCATGCAGCTAATGCACCTCTGTGGAGAACGTTGAGAGTGGACTTCAAGAAATGGAGTGCCTTGATAGTCTGTGAGACAATATACATCACGATGAGAGCGACCAGAGAGAGAGAGAGGAGAGAGAGGAGTGACTCACTGATTCAGCCATCTTGCCGACTACAGCCTCGGGAATTGTGAGTTTCAGTTTTTCGTAGACCAGTTTGTACAGCTGGTCGAGACAGCGGTCCATTAGCTCCATGAATATCCATACATCTCCCTACACGTAGAACGAAGAGAGAGAGAGATGGGGGGAGGTGGTAAGCCCAGTATACTCAAGATAGATGAGTTTCCATTACTCTGACTAAAGGACACCACTTTAGATAATGGACGCCTGTTAGTTAGTAAAGAACCCACTTTTTCCCAAAGTGTCCTTTATTCAGAGGTTCCCACTGTGTATAGAATATGTACTCACGTCATGAAATAATGAGCCATAGAAGGTGACGGTGTAAGGACAGTCGAGACTTTTGCACGCAACGTTGACGTCCATCATAAGACGTCTTCGTTCGTCGTTGTCAATAGTCGCTCTGATTTTCTGGAAGAAGTGAGAGAGAGAGGGAGGCACAGGTGGTAAAACTTGCAATGTGTGTATATAGGGACAGTCTAAAATGAAACTACCAAAGTACACACAGTGCAGCGTCTAACACACAACTCATGGCGAAAGAAACACAGGGATGTAGAGTTGAACACGTATAATCCGGAGACCATTGTGAACCGAAGAAAGTGTCCACACTAGTCAGTATTTCAGGGGCTAAATCGTATGCAAGAAACGATTTTTTGGGATAAGAAATGTGTCCTTATTAGAGAGGTGTCCTCATTGTAAGAGTGAACGCGCAGTAATCCATCCCTCCCTCTCCCACTGTCTGATGAGGTGTGGCAGCCGACCTTGACAGCCATGACTGTTCCCTTCTTCCTGTGCCTCATTCTGTAGACAGCTCCGAAGGCACCTCGTCCCAGCTCATCCTCACTCCGCATGTCCTTTGCCTTACACTGGTACGACTGCTCGATCAGAGGTGTTTATATACACATCATAGACGTACGAACTAAATGGTCTGTGGTATTAAATTAATGTTCTTCGTGCATACCTCGTTTCCGATGGTTATTCTAGCTATGGCATCTATTCCTGGAGGGCTGGAGAAGAGGGAGGGGGAGAGGAGAAGCGACAGAAAACATGAATCAGGGATGTCAAATTAGGACAAACACTTTTTTAAAAAGAGCCGTCTTATGTGGGACTCAAAACCATGATACACTCTTCTCTAGACAGAGTGCTCTACCACTGGCAGCTCAGCAGGCAGGGCTCAAAACAATAGAATAGCTCACATGAATGTAGCTGGGTTTGGTTTTTTGGCATCGTTGGTTGGAACTGTAAACAAAGGTTTACTGGCCTTTTTGCCTGAAAGAAAATCATTACGCACAATCACATAAAAAAATTATTTTATTACCCAGGTAAAATTTCTGTGGCCACAACGCCAGCCCCGCGACACGGAGTGGTTATGTAGAAAGTGGCTTTCTCTCCCTCTCTGGACTGGTAGCTCTTCTACGAAACACAGGATATGGAATGGGTGTGAACACTGACAGCACATGTATGATAATCCAGTGGAACCTCCGATAAGGGACCCTCCAAGATAGGACACTTGTTTCAACCCCGTGGGGTACTTTATATTTGACCTCCGACATGTAGAGACAACATCTCTACAAGGGACAAAATCGTTGGCCCCATAGTGTCTCTTGTTCGGAGGTTCCACTGTAGTCGGTATATACCTCAATCCGTTTGCTTTGTGGAGGCAAGGGCATGGCTGCGAAGTAAGGTGACAGTGCAACCTCCGAAGCCTCCTCCAGTCATGCAGGCTCCTAACACTCCGTCTTTCTCTTGCCGTGCCAGACTCACCAGCTTCTCCAGCTCCACACACGTCACCTCATAATCGTCCCTAGCAACATCACCATTACATCACCGGAAATGATTCTGATTGGAGGTTGGAGTGTGTGTGTAGTGTGTCCTATACCTGAGTGACTTGTGGCTGGCGGTCATGAGTTGTCCAAACTTGAGGTAGTCTCCGTCAGTGAGTGCGCGGACAGCGTCTGAGGTTCTCTGGATCTCTGTCACCACGTGTCTGGCTCGCGAGTACTCCACTGGCTCCAGAACACCCTTCCCAGCTGGAAAAAAACACACAGTACAAAACAAATGCAAAGAAAACTTTAGTGGACAGAGCGAAAAAAGTGTCCCACTATTCAAGGTGAATATTTTTCCCGAAAGAATCAAATTTTGTTGAAAACAAGAACTCACAATCACTGGCAATAATGTTTTCATAGATGGCCTCTAAATTTTTTAACTGTTCTGAAAATTACACTGACCCTCAAGTTCCTCGACAGTGAGCTCTCCGAGTCTCTTCTTGCCCAGTTTCCGGGCGGCAGCTGCACACGTCTTTCGTCTCTCCTCCAGCTCCGTGTCGGCCTGGCTCCGCCGGTAGTTGGAGTTGGTGACCAGGACAACCACATCGTCATCGGGAAATGGAATACTGGACACCTCTTTGGTACTGAGGAGGAGAGAGAAATGTAGTACAGTGATGGCTCTTTATAGCAAATTGCTGGGGAGATGAAGAATTTGTCCTTCGAATTTGTTCACAGTAAGCAGAAATAGGGGGAAATGTACAGTGTGTATGGGGGGCATAGAACCTAGAAATTTGGTCTAGTGTGATGAGAGTTCGTCTCTATGTTACAACACCACTTTGATATAATTATACTATTAGACCAGCCACCGGCACTTCGAGAAACATGTACTATTTAAAAAAGTAAATATGAGTCCAACTTACGTACCTGTTTTCGTTACGTAAACATTGTGTGTTTGTGACGTCCAGTGGCCAGTCATTAACAAAGTGGTGAGTTAATACTAACAAACTTACACCTTACGATGTGTACATACGTAGACACAATGAGGTTGGTGGTGGAATACCTGCAGTCAATTGAGAGAAGGTTCTTGTCAGTAGCCATAAGAGAGGTCAGTTGGTCTATGCTGGTACTGGATTCCCTCACTGACAGTCTGTCTGAGCTGCCAGGGTGATTGTGGACGTAGCGCTCCTCAGCTTCCTGGCAAAGTTGGCCACGTCTTTCGGAGATAGCTTCAGTCTTGGACACAGCTGCTCGATGAAGTGATAGGTCGCCGCCTCGAGAGCTGCGGAGCTTGAGAGTCCTCCACCGAGGGGGACAGAGGTGGCGATGATGGCGTCGAACGGAGGGATGCTCCCCGAGCGATTCATGAGAGCCACGACTCCCTTCAGGTAGGTGGCCCAGAACGGTCCTTCCGTCTCCACCTCCCAGGGCTCGTCCTTCGGGAACTGGGGGACGGGGAACTCGTGGTAGCCCGTCTCTCCCGTGGAGGCCGCTGTGATGAGACGACAGTTCCTGGATCCACTGGGCGACGGCCGGCCCAGAATCACCGTCACTAGGTTGAGGGCCTGAGGGAGAAAAGTAGAAATGTGTGTGTATGGCTGGTAAGAGGCATCTGTATAATTATACAAAGCCCCATAAACGACGGAACGCCAAAATGAAGGATCACACTAGGCTTACCATTGACACCACACGACCATCGTTGTATATGGTGTGCTCTCCTATGAGGTTGACACGGCCCGGGGCGAACACTCCAATGGTGGGGTTCTGGTCCTCCCCGAACCTCCAGCGAAACTCCTTCACCGCGTCCCTGCACAGCCGCTCGTACTCGGCCCGCTGCGTGGGTTTAGACACCGCATCGGGTGCAGGAGGCTGAGCCATGTCAGAGCCAAGCGTGGGTTCCCTCTCGCTCTAAAACACACAGATCATCTGTCCAGAAAAGTCAAGAGACAATGTTTGATGACGTAAACAGTATGTCAAGGGCTAGGGGGTAGTCCCTTCGGTCACGCCCACGAATAGGTATACCTAAATTTGCTCGAGTCCATCGTATTTTTGACGGGCGCAAACACCTGACTCGCTCGCCCTTTGCTGCTTTGCCTCTTCTTCTTCGATCCAGTTATCTTCGCCGACAAACGAAGAGAACTAGAGGCGGGAGACGGAATGGCGGTACCTCAGCAGACTTCCCAGCGAGCCGAGTACGAGCGGCTGTGTAAGGAGGCGGTGAAAGAGTTTCGCTGGAGGTTCGACAATCAGAGCCCGACCGTCGGCGTGTACGCCCCTGGTCGAGTCAATCTCATTGGAGAACATACCGACTACAATGGAGGGTTCGTGCTGCCTATGGTAAGTAACTGGATGCAGGCACGCGGCGGAAGAGAGAAAGATGCGTGTAGCGCAGAGAGCTAGGGAGACAGACCCGAGGCACCCACTATTCTCCATATTTCTCTCCCTCAGGCCCTCCACCTAGTGACGGTGATTCTGGGCCGGCCGTCGCCCAGTGGATCCAGGAACTGTCGTCTCATCACAGCGGCCTCCACGGGAGAGACGGGCTACCACGAGTTCCCCGTCCCCCAGTTCCCGAAGGACGAGCCCTGGGAGGTGGAGACGGAAGGACCGTTCTGGGCCACCTACCTGAAGGGAGTCGTGGCTCTCATGAATCGCTCGGGGAGCATCCCTCCGTTCGACGCCATCATCGCCACCTCTGTCCCCCTCGGTGGAGGACTCTCAAGCTCCGCAGCTCTCGAAGCAGCGACCTGTAGATTCATCGAGAGGTTGTGTCCGGCTGTCCAGCTGCCTTCGCTGGTGGAAAAGGCTCTCCTCTGCCAGCGAGCGGAGCACCGATATGCCCCGTGTGAGGTGTGGGATCATGGACCAGTTTGTCTCGCTCATGGGCAGCGAGAAAAACGCACTTTTCATCGACTGTCGGTGAGTTGTCAGTAAACAGAACTGCCATTCAAATACAGTATGAGCACAAAGAGCACCGGTGGTTTCATGCTGTCTAAAGTATAGTTTATGTTGAAAATGCCTCATGTCATCATAGTGCGTGGGGAGGTGGGGGTTCCCCTATCCATTCAAACACTACATATGCAAGTCACCCCTTGAAGTACATGGAGACTGGAGACCAAGATTAGCATGGAGTAAAGAACTTGATCTAGGATGATGTCATCATAGTGCGTGGGGAGGTGGGGGTTCCCCTATCCATTCAAACACTACATATGCAAGTCACCCCTTGAAGTACATGGAGACTGGAGACCAAGATTAGCATGGAGTAAAGAACTTGATCTAGGATGATGGGAGGGATGCAAGAATTAAAACTGTTTATTCCCAAGCATCAGTTGATTGTATAAAATATGATCGAGTCGCTGTTCCTACTTCCTGAAGAATTTCCTAAAACAATCCCTGAAGAGTTTACAGACAAACTAAAATTGCTACACAATCTTGCTGTTTCGGTCCGCCCCCTGCAGGAGCCACGAGGTGCAGCAGGTTCCGATGAAGGAGCCAGAGCTGGTGGTACTGATCGCCAACTCCAACTATCGCCACAGTCTCGGGGAGGGCGTGGACAAAGAGTACGAGAAGAGACGGCAGACGTGCGAGGCAGTGGCCAAGAAACTGGGGAGAGATATGCTGAGGGATTTAACTCTGGAGGATCTTGAAGGTCAGTCAGTCAGTGTACACTGTTGGTACTGGAAAAGTTGCAGTATAATAGTCTGTGTAACTGAACTAGTGGCTGTTTGGTGCCCACGCTTTTAAATAGCTCAATTAGAGTTGCTCTATGCAATGATGTGCTACCTGCGCTGACTGAAAAAGTTGGGGGGAAATATGTTTTAACGTGCAAAATTTTCTTTCTCACTGTGCATGTGTGCATGTGTTTGTCAGCTGGGAAGGGTGTTCTGGAGCCAGTGGAGTACTCCCGAGCAGACACGTGGTGACAGAGATCCAGAGAACCTCAGACGCTGTCCGCGCACTCACTGACGGAGACTACCTCAAGTTTGGACAACTCATGACCGCCAGCCACAAGTCACTCAGGTATAGGACACACTACACACACACTCCAACCTCCAATCAGAATCATTTCCGGTGATGTAATGGTTATGTCGCGTATGCCACCCAACATACACGCATGCACCACTCACAGGGAAAAAATGGCACTCTTGCATCCAATTAACCAATCGAATTATTTCTGGTGATGTAATAATGACATCAATCATGAATAATAGCTACAATTCCTTGGGGTATTGTGAACACCCCAACTCCTACAATATTGCATACTACGTACTAGCTGTCTCACACACGAGTAAAAAAAATCCCATTTTTTGTGTCGTACATTGTGTGCAATTTGTCAATCTGTTGTGTTGTTGCCAGGGACGACTACGAGGTGTCGTGTGGTGAACTGGACAAACTGGTTAATCTGGCTCTGGACGGGGAGGGGGTCCTGGGTTCTCGTATGACGGGTGGTGGTTTCGGAGGTTGCACTGTAACTCTCCTTAAGAGATCTGCCATGCAGTCTACCATCGCACGCATACAGGTGAGTGAGTATATTCCAACTGTAAATGGAGTCCAGCCTGATTATATACTCCGGTGTATGCTCAATTAACAAATCTTGTGGTAGTAAAGACGGCAATAAGGCCTAGTCCTATATAGTGCAAGAATGCAACAGGTTTCCATTTTAGGCTGCAAAATTCTGTGTTGTCAAAGTTTTAGTCTGTTGTTAGTCTCTGCATTTTACTACGTCGCGAAAGTTATATGAAATTCCCTCGACTTAGCAAACATACATCTTTCTTTGCGAGACTCGCACGCCTTTTTTTATGCATCGATTCCCATCTCACATTTAGGAGTCTTATGAGTCGCGAAACGGAGAGAAGGCGACGTTCTACATCGCCACGCCGTGCGGAGGTGCCGGGGACATACCACAGAAACTGGTCGTAGGTGAGCCACGCCCCCTCTCTCTCTCTGCGGTGGGCAGCTGCATTGTCCTCTTCTCTGTCCAGGGAAGAAAGGGAGAGGTGTAACAGTGGATATTGGCAAAAAGAAGAAGGAGATGAATGAAGTAGACTATATGTGAGTAATTGTAGGGCAAGAAATTGGCGGGCATTAAATTAATCGGGGGTGTATGTAAATGTAAGGCAGCTGCAAATCAATGACACCCACGACAACAGAGAGCTGCTCTAGGTCACTAGGTGGGACTCAACCAACAACACTCCCAAAAAGTGGGTAATTCAGTTGTAATTTTTGGTGGTTTAACTTGAGGTGTCAACCCACATCCAAATCCCCCTTAAACAGTGGAGTTAAGTGTAACATGCGTATTTTTGCTATACTCTGTGTGCGTGATCTGTATATACCTTATTCTGTAGTCCAGAGGGAATCGATTCAAAGACAATGATCAGAATTGGAAATGAAGAGGTAAAGTCTAACGTTTTGCTGTGTGTCTGTTGTTTGAATCTTCTGTAGCCGTTTGAGTGCAAAGCAGAAGATCTGATTGAGGAGAAGGAGCTTGGGAGAGGGGCTTACGGCAGTGTGTACCAGATGAGGCACAGCAAGACTGACACCATCATGGCTGTGAAGGTGTGTAGATATATTGAAAGAGAGCAAGAGAGAGGAGTGTAGTGGCTGCAAAGGAGTTAAGAGTATAGAGAAATGGGGGCATTATGGAGGACATTATGATGTGGCAAAGTTGTGAAGTCGAGAAGGGACTGAGGGAGAGGGAGGTGTAACATGAAGAAAGAGAGAGGAGGTGGGGGTGAAGGTGTGATCTCTTCTCTCCTCCCAGCGTATCAGGGCCACCATTGACTCTAATGAACGACGTCGTCTTCTCATGGATCTCCGTGTCTCCATGCGCTGTCTTGATTGTCCGTACACTGTCACTTTCTTCGGAGCTCTGTTCAAAGACGTAAGTCTCTACCTTGATGTAAACGTTTTGTTAGCCTCATAGTTATGTGTGTGCTTGCGAGGTACACACTCTTTTGGCACGGGATGATTTGTTCTGCAGGCGCTCTTTGAACAATGCTAACTTCTCAGCCGACTTTGTTTTGAAAATTCCTTTGGTGTTTTGGGTTTTTGAGATTTACTGTGAACTGAAAATTAGTTGGTGTGTGTGTTTTGTGTTTTTATGCGTGTTTGATTCTGTAAGAGATTTCTTTTAAACTGAAAGTCATGTTTTTCTGCAGGGTGATGTGTGGATATGTATGGAGCTGATGGACATGAGTCTTCACGACCTTTACAAACTAGTGTACGAGAAACTACACCTCACTATACCGGAATGGGGTCGTTGGGAAAATGGCCGAAGCTGTGAGTCTCTTCTTACGACCGTCACTCTCTGATTTCAGTGTCCATTGTAATATGTATGTATGTCTCTCTGTCCAACTGTACTAATGCAGACTGTGAAGGCTCTGCATTATCTCAAAGCCAACCTAAACGTCCTCCACAGAGGTATATACTGTATATGTACACACTCATGTGATATGCACAGCAAAGCAGTTTTACAGTATAACACAGGCTTATGATGCATTACGTTTTTTGTGCACCGTTAGCTTGCATTGTGACCCAATTGTACACATCTGTCTTGTATCAAGCTGCACAGCATCAATATTGCAAACCAGCTCTAATATATGACTGGTGTGTGTCGTTGTACACATGTGTATAGATGTGAAGCCGTCCAACATCCTGATAAACCGGGCCGGCCAGGTGAAGCTGTGTGACTTTGGCATCGCTGGCGAGCTGGTCAACTCCTTCTGCCAGACTGACATCGGCTGTAAACCTTATCTCGCTGTGAGTGGGCGAGTTCCGTTGTGTCTGTTCGCCTTACTCCTTCCTCTCTCTCTCTCTCTCTCTCTCCTCTCTCTCTCTCTATCTCACACACACACTCTGTAGCCGGAGAGGATCAATCCTATGGTGCTGGGAGCCAAGTATGACCAGAGATCTGATGTATGGAGCTATGGCATCACCCTGGTCAGTTCCTTACTACCTCTCCCTCTTCCTTTGCCACTTCTCTCTGTTTCGCCATTCCTCCCTTATCCCTCCTCCCTGTCCTATACCCATTCCTCCCTTATCCCTCCTCCCTGTCCTATACCCATTCCTCCCTGTCCTATACCCATTCCTCCCTTATCCCTCCTCCCTGTCCTATACCCATTCCTGTCCTCTCCCTCGTCCTCTACAGTATGAGCTGGCAGTAGGCCAATTCCCATACCCAGTCTGGAAGAACATGTTCGAGCAGCTCAAGTCAGTGGTTGATGGAGAGGCTCCCCGCGTCCCGGCCAACTTGTCTCTTTCACCCGAGTTCACTGACTACCTCCACTTATGGTGGGTGTATATAAATTATACTGCTTCTCAATATTACCCTACACCATTATTTTACTGTATCGGAAGCACCACTTTAACTCTAGGTAATCATGGATTACCTCCAATTGCTCAGGAGTGCTACTAGCAATATAATTATTATGCAACTACGAATGTTTGGTCTGACATGCATTATAACGGTCTCCATTTTCACTTTCAGCCTCACCAAGGACGTCGAGACTCGTCCGGGGTTCCAAGAACTCTTGAACCACGCCTTCATTCGGATGATGGAGGAAGAGGTCAGGGAGGTCAAGACGTGGTATGCCGATATCGTCGCCAGGAACAAGCAGCTGCCTGACCTTTGAACCTTTAGCACCATGATGCTCTGTTCTGACTTCCTTTTTTCCATTATTATTACCCATCTGAAGATGAACCATATACAATTATAGAAGTGTGTATTTATCATTTTCCCTTTAATTTGTGTCTTGTATAAATTAATGAGTTTTAATTCTCTGGAGTACGGAGTAGAATGGAATTGGAGTCAATTACTCCAGCACCATCGCTGGGGTAACACACCACAAAAGTAGCCTTCTTCCCATGTCTGGACCTGTAGTTTTCCTGCAAGTAGACAGGCGAATGAGGGTTCACTTTGTAAGCATCAAAGTAGACGCATGAAAAGAGGCAGAGAAGAGACTAAAATTAATTTTTGCTTTAAAGTGTGCTTGTTCTAGTGTACTACATTAGTGTGTGTGTACATTGGAACTTGAAAAACTACATGTCCCCAGTTACAAGGTTAGAGAATGCACCAAGTGTCCATTATAGAGAGGTATAATATATATACAAGGTATACTTTGCTCAGACATTACAGAAGAAGAGAGAAGAGAAACAGCTAACTGAGATGGTGGTTTTGACTGTCTCAACAGCGTCGCGGTGAAGGAGTGTCACAATACAACCCCCGAACCCTCCTCCACTGAGATGAGACCCGTACACCGTCTGGCCCTCGTGGCCCCTCAGAGTCAGCTCCACTATCTCGTCCAACTCCTCCACTGTCACCTCATAGTTGTCTCTGGACGCAGAGAAAAAGTTAACATTGAGGCGTAAATTTCTTGCAGGTCTGGAAGTTTTCGAATGTCAAAAATTTTTTGGGCAAATGAGAAATTTTTTTTTCCTTACCAACTTGCAATATAGGGTGGACAGCGAAATAGGGATAGGTGCAGCTAGATAGAAAACATTACTACCAACCAAAGTATTAAGGATAGTTGGGGCGTCCCGTAGACTCCCCACGAGAAGCCACTGCTCACTGTACCTGAGGGAGTAGTGGCTGAGGGTCATGAGCTGTCCAAATTCCCGATACTTGCCCTGTTTCAGGATTGTCCTGGACCGGATTGAGCGGTCGATTTCGCTCACTGCATGCGTGGCTCTCTTGTACGCCACTTCACTCAGCTGGTCCCTCGAGGCTGCAGAAACACACCTGTACTGACTGTAATTCAAGTTTATTAAACATTCGTGAATGAGAGAGCAAACCGAGCCTATCTAGTCTGCATTGCAAAGATGGGCACATCTTGGCACTGTAATAGTAAACGTTCAGTCAGCGAAAATGCCATTAAACGTTTTTCCCCAACTGTTGTGGGAGTTCAACCCTTAGCCAGCCACGAGGAGATACCTATGGCGTCCAAAGGGTTAAGGATTCTGTGGTGGCCTAGCCAATCGTAACAAAGAACAAAAGAAAGAGAGAAAACCAGAGAGACTTCCGCTAACCTTCCAGTCCCGTCTGATTCAGATCCCTGAGCCACTTGATCCCCAGTGTACTGCTGATGTTCTCGCACGTCCTCCTGCGACTGGAGTAGTCTCTGTCTCCCTCCGTCGAGGTCTCCGAGAGGTCGTGGCGATACTCAGAGTTGATGATGAGGAGAGCGAGGTTTGGGTCTGTCAGTGGGAGATGCTCCACCTCTTGGGTACTGGTAGGGGAGGGGGTGGAGGGAGAGGGGGAGAGTTTGTAAAATAAATATGGAAACCTTTGAAAAAGGACCCTCAGAATAAAGGACACCTCTCTGAAAACAGACACTTGGTTCTAAACAATTGTGTATTAATCTCCGAGTAAGGGACACCTCTGAATACAGGAGACTTTTGATGTGCCTTATTTAGAGGTTTTCGCTAAAGGTACGATCTTTGAGAAATGATGAATCTGTCATTTCAAGTTGAATCTTTTGCCTGCATGGGTTTTGCACTTGATCCTTACTGATGAACCCACCTACAGTCGATGTATAGAGCGTGACTTTCTTTAGCCATCATTGACACAAACTGATCCATGAGACCACACGGCACGTTGGCATAGCGATGCTCCGCCTCCTGGCAAAGAAGGGCGGCCTGTTTCAAATCGGGACGGCCCGTTTGTGGACACAACTGCTCCAGAAACTTGTAGGTTGCAACTTCGAGAGCAGCTGAGCTGGACAGGCCACCGCCGAGCGGAACAGAGGAGACAATTACGGCCTCAAATCCAGGGACATCCCCATTCTTGTTCATCAGAGCAACGACCCCCTTCAAATATTTGGCCCACTGGGGGCCACCGATATCGACACTGTGAGATTCCTTGGACGGGTGGGTGGGAACGGGGAAGGTGTGGTCTGCATCCTCGTCTGAAATCTGATTGGTCCGAGCCAGTGTGACAACTCTGCAGTCGCCATTCGGGGAGCGGCGACCAACTATCACTGTTACCAGTTGCAGGGCCTTCCGAGAAAAGAAAGAAGTTGGGTGACAGTTTAATAACGCTTCCTCAAAGTCCTACCACAGGTATGACAGGTCCACCGCTGTAATCAATCGAACCGCCCATGAGGTTGACCCGACCTGGAGCATAGGCGCCGAGCTCGGGACGCCCAAACACCCTCCGAAACTCTTTCACTGCCTTTGCACACTCTCTCTCCACCTCTTCCCGCTGTCTGCTGCTCCCTCCGGCGGGCATCTTACCGTCTACATCTTTCCGGACGACAGGTTCGGACATTCGCGTTTTCCGGACACAAATAAATATATCTAAGCGCGCCGGTGCGATCAGGATAAGCGCGCTACTGCGGAATCAGCAGTGCGGTGAAGACGTACACAGTAAATGGCCGAACCAGAACGTGGAAGTGTGACAGCAGAGTGGAGCCAGGGCGACAAGAAGCCGTCAATGGCAGAGACACCGTCCCCCACCAAAGCCGGCCGGGCCCCACCCTCGTTGTCTCAGCAGCAGAGCCGAGTCAGCAAAGCTAGCTCACGCCGCGGCACCTCCACTCTCCGTAGTCAGTTGAGTCAGCCGCGGAGGTCGCCGCAGCCTGGCTCTAACTGGGGGAGAGTCCAAAGTGCCTTCAAGAAGTGAGCTTACTCCTAATTCATGTCGACTCTACTCAATACAATGCCCCTGTATTATCGTAAATAAATCGACTCCCTCCCCCTCTCAGAGGAGCGCTAGTGGCAGTGGGTCTGAAGCAGACGGGACCAGAGAAGCTGCACTGGAACGCCATCCAGAGAAATGTGCAGGCCAGCACTACACCTCCAGTCTCCTCTGCTTCCTCCCCTTGGGGCAGCCAACCCAGTAAGTCTGACATCATCCAAAGCATCCTATGTAGCTGTAGGTCAAGAAATTAACCAAGCAGAGTGCTAAACGAACCTATTGTGTATAATAGTGGCTCAGCTGATTTGTGCAATGCAGAGCTTCAGTCTTTACACGTATAATATATAGCAGCATTTGAATGGCTCTAGTGTCCCAATTGTCATTTGGGTTGTCCTGCATATGGATGTGCCTCTTTACCTGAAGTTTTTGAGGCCAAGGTTAATCAATTGGGTTTTCAGGAGTTGTCCTGATTGTCAATTCGGCTGTCCTGAATGTGGATGGAGTTGTCCTGATTTCCCCACAGGACCAGGACTCCAGCGACTGAGGTCACGTCTCTCCTACCACGATGCGCCGGTGGCTCACATTGCCTATCCCTCGTACACCAGACAGATGTCGTCTATCAGTACTGCCACGAGAAGAGGTGTATCGGTCACAGGGGAGCCGGGGCGATCGGAGAGTGCCCCTGGCGTTATCCAGACAGACGGGGGAACGCCAGTCCCACCGTCGCTGTACGGGACAGGGAGGGTCCAGGCCGTGCGGCAGGAGCTGAAGCCAGATCTGTGGAAGATTGCCTACCAGGGAGTCCTACGACTGGTGTCTCAGAGCGAAACGGTGAGGGAAAGGTGGCCAGGTGTAAGGTTTTTGGAATCCGAGCAAAAACACAGTTTTTAGAATTTTGTGATTGTGAATGAAAGCCAGCACTACCACTATTTAACTCCACTTCAATGGAACAAATTCCCATATTTTGCGACTGGCATTCCCCCCACTCACAGATGTACGTTTTCTAACATACTAACCAGCTATATACAACATTTCTCGTGTACTGCTCTTTGTTTCCTTGCCTTTTTCTCTCTCCTCAATCCCTTCTTTGCTGCATCTCTCCCATTTTTCATTTCACCCTTTCTGTGCTTCTTCTTTTCGGCCTTTGCTACGTTCAGCTGAAGCCATCGATCTCGTCAGTCAGTGGAACTCTCAGTAGACAAGCTCCCTCGACCGGAGTCAAAAGGAGTTTCATCGATCTAGGAGACAGTGAGGAGGAGGAGGAAGAGGAGGTGGATGTTGGAAGGATAGAAGCTGATAGTGTGACTGCAGCTCCCGGGACCTTTATGGGCACCATTATGGTGAGGTCACGTGAGAATCACATGACATTACACTCTTCCATATGAGGAGAGTCATGTGCCGTAACTTGATACAGAGTCATGCATGTGACATGTGTGTTGTTTAGGAGGACGATGAAGATTTCTTTGGAACCGAGGGAGGTGTTGAAGAGACAGATGCTCCATTGGCCAGGTAAACATACATCTGAAAAGGTTTGGACGGGCAGCAATTGAAAAAACAGCAACATTTGAATGCGCTAATTTTGCAATTTTGCCCTAAACTTTGCTCAATTGTCATCGTGCACGGCTTGTAACCCCCTGAAAGAAGTCACGAATCTTTTCCTCTCAGGGCCGGCCTGGAAGAATATCAACCGGAGACAACGTACCACAAGCCTAAGCCGACACCGAAGCGAAGGGATCGGATTGGTCGACTCCACATGATCCACGACCCCCTGTTTGGGGGGTACGACCGAGGCTACGGGGGGCTCGGCCTCCCCACATTCCTCTTGAGGTTCAAATATCGCTACGTCTCCAGAGACACGCAGAGGAGACTGGACGAACATCTGCTGCACAAGTGAGGAGATTACTGAGAGTTTACTGGAGATTACTAACTGCTTACTAGAGATTACTGAGTTTTCCCTGCAAACCTTGTTTGATATGAGTTTTCTCCCTCTGAAGTCTCATACAGTGTTGTCAAATGTCTTCTATCTCTCTTTCTCTCTCTTTCTCTCTCTAGACGGCCCTACTTCACCTACTGGCTGATGTTAGTACACACTATCATAATGATCACTGCGGTCGCGGTGTATGGCTTCGCTCCGTACGGCTGGGACCAGATGGCGGAGAGGGGGACGGTTCTCGGTAGCAACCTCGCCTTTGACACAGAGGAGAAGATTGTCATTCCAAGTGTGTGGTTTGGCCCGTCTCAGAAATCTCTGGTCCTGCTGGGAGCTCTGTATGGTGAGGGAAAAGAGGGTTAGTCCTGGTGCTTTGACGATTGTCTCCCACAAGGGATCAGAATTCTGCAGCAAACAAGTGCTATTAAGTTAATCAGGTTCACAATTGATGCAAGCATTCACGTGGGTTGCTAATTTTTGACTGGCTTGTGGTAAAATGCTGCTCCACACCGTATGAAAAGCAAGCAAGGTCTATTCTTTTGTTACGTAAGCTGTGTGTGCTGCGATTGTATCGTAAGGTCAGTGTCAAACCAGGCTTTAAACAAAGGGCAGCACAGGTGTACCTGCCCAAAGCTGCCCAAGAAAATGAAGGTGACCTCTCCACCTTGGTTGTCGCCTACAGGTCCGTGTATGAGGAGAGATCGGCAGCTGTTCCGGGCAGTGGAGGCAGACAGGAACAACGAGAGGAGCCAGTCCGGCTGCTGCGTCAGACTAGACGGCTCCGGGTGTGTCCAGGAACCCAACAACAAGAACTGCCGGGTGAGAGGGTGTGGCCTAAATTCTTTGTACTTTTAGTAAACATGTGAGAGGAAACACAAGAGAACAGGAGAAAAGATATTCCAAAAGTGATATTGCCTATTGCGATGTTGCAAGAGATATTATATTCTCTCTCTTGCCAGACGAGGCTAACTGACTTTGTCACCAATTACACTGACGGTGAAGATGAGATCAGAGGAGTCTGCGGGACGTCTCCCCGAACCTGCAGCGACCCTCGACCTGGTCTCGACTCCACCTCCTGGGTACTGGACAACGTCCTCACGTGGCCGGTGAGAGTCACATGACTGTCACATGACCCCTGTCGAGGTTACATAACCCCCAGATATGCCTGGAGAGTAACGTATCGGACGAAGGGGGTCCCCCTCACTTGACGTGTGAGATCACTGGTCGACCGTGTTGTGTGGGGATACAGGCTCTGTGTATCATCACCACCAGAGACCACTGCGATTTCCTGGACGGGCGATTTCATCAGGAGGCCTTCCTCTGCTCACAGGTACACCTCTGACTGTCATGTGACCTGCACTTGATTCTCCCCACAGGTTGACTGCCTCAATACCACTTGCGGGCTCCTCCCATTTATCGAGTTTAACGAGCCGGACCAGTTTTATCGACTCTGGATTGCTCTCTTCATGCATGCTGGGTAAGTAGCATGATCTGCCATTTTTATTATCCCCACATAATAGTTTATAGTCCAAGGTATTCATTCAGTGTGTCTGTCCCCCCCATATAGGCTGCTTCATCTCTTCCTCTCACTCATCTTCTCGTTCCTAATCCTCCGACATGTCGAGAAGCGAATGGGCTGGCTGCGAACCACCATTCTGTACATACTCAGTGGCATCGGAGGCAACCTCGTCAGTGTCTTCTTTGTTCCTTATAACCCTCAGGTACGAACTCTCTCACCCTCCCCTTCTCTCCTTACATTTTAACATTCCGAAAATCTCTTTTGGAAGTTTTGCAGTTTAACCATTTACGAAAGTGTTCTCTGCAAACCTACATTTGCCCATGCCAATCTGAAACTCTTCGCCACACAAAACTATAGTGAAAGAGTTTTGTTTCCCAAAGAAAGTGTTCAGCAGTGTATTTCTCCCTTCCTTCGCCAGGTCGGGCCTGCAGGGAGTATAGTTGGAGTGGTGGCCTACATGTTTGTGTTCCTCATCTTTGAATCGCGACTCCTCATGCACCCGTGGGTCGAGTTCATCAAACTCGGATTCGTTGTGATCTTCCTCCTCATTCTCGGCCTCTTCCCCTTCATCGACAACTTTGCCCACATCGGAGGGTTCGTCTTTGGCTTCCTCCTCTCTGGAATCCTCGTTCCGTACCACAGTCTGGACGACCTGGGAGTCAAACCCAAGAGAAAGAAGAAGGAGAGAAAGAACGACGTGTTTCGAAGGGTCAAATGGGGAATGGTGATTGGTGGGATTCCGTCCGTCGTCCTGCTGTTTGTCCTGTTTTTCGTCCTGTTTTACGAGGTTCAGGACACGTGGGACGGTTTTCAGTACCTCAACTGTATCCCGTTCACCGCCACCATATGTCAAGATCTGGGCGGCAATATTAGGACTAGAGACTCTCATATCATCTGACGTCACTACGTATATAGTACAGATACCACCATCGTGAGGCCAGGGAGCGGGGGGTGTGGACTATTTAGGGATACATGCAATCTTTCACTGTCATGATGTCATAACTGTAGAAAACTTCTGTCCTTGTGTCAATAAAATTACACAATTGTTTCTCTATTCAAAATGTGATCTATTGTAGTAGCAAATAATTGTCCATGTACGATATTTGTTTTTAGCTTCGGTTACCTTTCAAACACGTTTAATATCCCTATATACAAAAGAACGAAGTGATTTATAAAAACACGGACTAAAAAATAAAACAGAAGAGTGTATGAGAAAGTCGCAGATGGTGCCAGGGGGTTGAAGGTCAGTATATGGCGCTGGTTGTTTTGCGGAGTCGTGGTTGGATGGCGTAACCTTGGTTACTGGCCATTAGCTCCACCTCCCTGTCCTCTGCCTCGGACCTGTTGTCACACAGAGACAATTACATCATCATTCAACATCATGTAAAACGTTGGGTTTTAATTGGTGACCCTGTTTTCTAAGGGCATTTAGGATTACTCTCATAATTATAAAACTAGTATATAAGGACACCTCAACTTCAGCATGCAGGAATAGAGGCTTACAGTGTCTTCTCCATGTGAAGGGTCCACAGGAGGCGGTCTCTCTTCTCCACCAGTTCCACCAGTTCGTTGATCATGGCCTCCTCCTCCAGGCGCTGGAGATCCGTCTTCTCGGAGTCCTCCTGCGCCAGCCGGCGTCGTATCTCACCCTCCAGCACGTCGTGTTGCTCTATCAGCTCCAGGTCCTTCACCTGGTACACCAGATCTGACTCCTGACGGCGGTGGAGAAGAGGGAAGGGGGAGAGGGTGGAAAGACAGGGTGTTGAAAAAGACCCCCAGCGTGTGAAAGTGAAAGTGAAAGTTTGTACATTCTCAGTGCAGAACTAGCCAATAATAAAAATCTGCTACATATAATTATAATATACCTACAGCTTGCATGCTGTTTTTACATTTGCAGTAGTTAAAGCACGGGGGATGATGCAGCAAAGTTATGCGTGGAATGTAGTCAAACCTGTCTGAGGAGCATGTTTTTCTGGTTGACGAGGCCGAACCACTCTTCCACCAGGCGGTCGTCGACTGCCTCCATGTCTTCTGTGCTCCTCAGCCGCTGCTCCATCTCCACCCCTCTCTCCTCCAGCTCCCTCTGCTCTCTCTCCACCGCGGCCAGCTCCGTCCGCAGAGACTGCAGCTGTCTCTTCCTCTGCTCGGCCAACTGCTCGATGGTGGGGCTGGAGATCGGGAGGAGGGGAGATTTAGTGGAGGTGTGGGGCCGACGCGCTGATTGGGATTTCGAGCGGGCTGGTTGGCGGGGTGGACGAGGAGGAGTACGAGAGGGCGGAAACTGCGGTCGAGGTGGTGCCGGGCGTGACGGCTTTATCGATGGGCGGGATGGACGTTTCGGGGGTTGAGACTCTGGAATCGGGGAACGGGACGGCTCAGTCGGTGGATTGGACAGCTCTGCTTTACGATCAGATGGCTCGGCATCCTGGGGGACCTGTAATAACAACAGAAGAGAGATTTAAATTCCACTTAACACCCACATTTCATAATTTGATTCATCACACAAAATATAAATTCAGATTCGACTATCATTATGATTGGTGTGGTCAGAGAGTGTTTACAGATGAGCCAAAGAGGAAGAAGAGAGATTGGAGTAGGCAGTAGACCGCCAGGCCACACAACAGGTAGAAATAACAGCTGAACAACGCCAGGTGCCCGCCGGGTACCTTGGCTGGAGCTGTTGCACCCTCCTTCTCTCCCTGTGACGGTAGTGGTGTGGTCTTCATCGTCCTTCGACGAGGCGGTTTCACCGGCGAGGGAATGTCTTCTGGTGTCTTCTCCTTCTCTCCCCTCTCCTCACTTTCCCCCTCACCCCCCTCTCTTTCCCTCTCACCCTCCTCCTTTTCTTGTTTGCGTGCTTCAATATCCACTTTTTCGCCTGCTTTCTCTGTTGCTATGTGTTGCCCCGACAACTGTTGCTCTGGCAACGGTTTCTCCGGCAACTGTTGCTGTGGTAACCCAATTGATACAGCAACTGCAGAGCCATTTTCAGCAGTCACTGTAGTTGCCTCACTAGCAGGACCCAGTGACTGGACTTCAGTTTCTGGATCCTGTTTAGCAGCTGCCAGGGTCTTCAACAGTGACGGAAGACCGCCCCTGATCCTGGCCGACTCTTGACGAGATATCTCAGTGGGTGTGGCAAAAACAGCCGCAGTGGGCGTGGTTTCAGTTTTGCCAGACCCGCCAGAACCACCATGACGATTGGTGGTAGTATCGGTTACCGATGTGCTGACCTTTGACCTGGTGACCTCATCACTTTCTTTCTTCCTCTTTGGCTCCACCTCCTCCTCCTCCCTCTTCTCCTCGCCGTCCCCTCCAGTAGGGCTAGCAAGATTCCTCTGATCAATAGTTCGTTTGATTGTCCGCTGTCGCAAGAGGTCCCGGTAGTGGGTGCGGCAGTAAAACTGGTTTGAGATCCGGTCAAACTCGTATGATCCCTGTTTCAGCTGGACGGGGCACGAGTGGCATTTGAAGCAGGCTCGATGGAAGACGTGATTCTCCACGGCCAGTCTCTCCATGAGGTATACCCTCTTGCCGCAGGACTCGCATTCCTCCTGACCCATCGTCCCCCTCTTCTGAGATCCCGAGGGCACCACTCTCGGTGGAGACAACTGAAAAGGTTTGGAGAGGGAGAGACTATTATGACTGTTTCTCTATTGCCTAATCAAACCCATAGCCGTGCTTGATTCCTTATAGAGTGAACTTTACCCGTCATGTTTTGCTATTGTGATTTTGTCAAAGAACCAGAGGGAGGGAGGAGATACTATTGCCAGAATTATAACTTAGACAAACAAGCATTCTTTCCATAGTCTGAACACAAAAATCTACAGCGTACATCACCACAAATTAAAACAACACGTCATTGATGAGACGCACCTGCTTTCGTAAGGGAACTTCGGTTGATTTGCTTCCCTTGTTGGACGAAGTCTCCGGAACAACTTTTCCTACAGCATCCATCTTCCGCTGTTGTTGTTGTTGTGTGTTGGCAGTGGTGGGAGGAGGAGGACGAGGAGGGAGGGGAGACGATGGTTTCGGAGTCGAGGTGACAATGGTAGAGGGAGAAGGGACGAAGTTTGTAGCCGGGTGTGGTCGGGAGGAGCCCACTCCGCCCTGTGATGTCGTCTTTGGTGGTTGTTCAGCTATGCCCGAGAGCTGAATGGGCCAAGAAAAAAGCATTGTAAATCCATAACTTTACTCCACCTTAGAACAAACAACTCTACAGAATAAGGACACCTTACTAACCACCTTACTAACAAGTCTATGTATCTTTTTGCCCAAAATAGCATGGTTCAACTGCAATCCCTCACCTTGGTGGTTGTCTGTCCCATTCCGGTACCAGGTTTACCCAGAGATGGCGTGGAGACTGTTCGACTTACTTCCCCCACCGTCTTCCTGGGAACTTCCCTCTGTGGCGACAATGGACCAATATTCTCGACCTTTACCCTCTTCGGTCCCGGTTCCATTCCACCCCTGGTATGGACCGAAGATGCAGCAGTTTTGGTGGTATGTGGAACGGGAATGGGACCGAGAGTCTCCGCCCCCTTGGAAGGTGTCTTGTCTTTGAAGTAGTTGTAGTACTGGATGAGGTACGTGGCGACGCTTAGCTTGTCAGGTACACGGAGTTCCACCATGTCAGCTGCGTCCAGCAGCGCTGGTATATCCAGCTCCCTATCCGCTACTGAAAAGGCCTGGGGGAGCAGGGAGGTGTATATAGAGACAGATACAGACAGAGTGGCGTACGGTACACGACACTGAGGCAGACTCTTATGTGCATTGCAATGCATCGGAGCATACATAGTAATGTAAGCGTGGGTACGGAAAGCAACGCATGGGAGCATACATACAGGTGATGCACGCCAGCGGAAAACAATTTGCATTGCAAAAAAAACGCGGGCGAGAGAGAGAGAGAGACATAATGTTGTTGAAAGCAGGTTTTGTGGAACTCTGCCTACCAGTTGGTTGTTTTGGAACACATTTTCTTTCTTTAGAGAGTCATAGGGTCTGTATTGAGAGATAGAGATACGTACCTAACTACCTTCACTTTACCCTTGAAAACCACATACAATACTCACTCAAGAACAACACAGCAACACTTGGGAAAGGGAGGCTGTTATTTACAATGGGAGAAGACTAAAGCACCAGTCAGCAGGGAATGACATTGTTGAAAGCTAACTGTCTCTGTAAAGCCTTAAAAGTAGGTAATACAAGACGGTTCATGAGAGGGTTCTACCCATAATTGGTAGTAAGCACGTGATTTGAGTCAGTGAGCACCAGGTAGTCATGAGGATTTCCAAACTATAGGCCAGCCCACCTACATCACTCCTTCATTATCATTTAGGGGCCCTTTGGGCGCCATAGGTGTCTCCTTAAATAAGCAGAAATTGATGTATAACATATTAGCGCCTAGCCATATATAAATTCGTATGCACTTATGGAGGCTCTGTGCATATATATATATGTATATATGTAAATGGCGCCCAAAGGGTTAGAGGATCTATTTGTGTCCCTGCACCTGTCTTGCTACCTGGGGACATGTGTTCTCCTGGTTATGGATTGAGAGGCAAACAAACAGCATATGATCTAAGGCCACAAACACCTCGCAGGCATGCGAACAAATAATATCAGTCGGGTTTTGTTGTGTCCGTCTGTGCCTAACAATTGGCTACTACTGATGTAATATGCAATAGATTATGCTTCGTGTGGCGGGGTTGGCGATAAATTGGGTAATCTGGCAGAGGGGCAGACCTAAATGACAGCCAAGTAGGTACAGCTGTAGCTCATAATACTAGAGTGTACCATGCCTCATTAGCTGGTACCTGTGAACCAGACTTAGAAGTGCCAACGTATATGGTATTCCTAAGGGCGAGTGCGTGGGCACGTCTCTCTTCTCTAGCCACGAGGCATATGCGGGGTGCTGGCAGCTAGCTTGTATTGAGCTAGCTAGCTCGCACCTCAGCCACTTAGCTATATAGGAGTACTCCTTAGCTAGGAGCGCAGTGGCATTTGTAGTTTAGTTCAGCCTGCGTTTCGTCGCGGCTGCGCAAGTAATCCCCCTGTGGCGGCTCGTTTTGCTCTAAGTACACGCTCTCAGGGGTTGTGTAGGTCAAACTGACATGAGATCTGGGCGGTAGCGGTGGATGATGGCACAGAAAACCAGCCCGTCACGGAACGAGGTGGTCATGTTTGTGATTTCCACGTCCCTGTAGCCCTGCGTCACGTTCTTGCACCACTGCTGGAGCCCCTTCACGCCCGTCTTCCTTGCCATCTCTCACAGACTCTCTACGCGACACAGCAGCAAGAACTAAAAACCGGGAGTGCTCCCGCCCCCGGCCGCGTGGGCGTGCAGTATTTTGGCGCATGCGCAGTTCATTTGCGAGTTCCACCCACCATATAATATGGAACCACCAACTTCCAGTGGTCTACAGCGACTCATAGGGACTGTAAGAAACGTACTAACTATTCACAAACAACTGCTTGTCTATAATGCGACTAATACATGTACCCAGTGCCTTCTTGTGCTGAAAGATGAGCAGTCCTCGTCTCTATCAGCCGAGGTGTGTGAGGGGCTCCTAGCAACAGATCCTTCTCCCCTCTCCTCCTCTCCTCCTCCCACTACCACTGACAGAGGTACCCATGTCCTCCATGGCTACCCTGCCTACCCTCTGTACATAAGACTCTCTGCCTGCATCAACCACTGGCTAACTACTGGGTAATGTCTCTTTGTTACAATATTCATGTTGTCATGTTCAAAGCCTAGAGATATCACTGTCAACTATTGGCGAGCAAGAAAATGCAGGATTTCTTAATATGACAGTGAGAGGATAATTGGCCACTTTCACCACACTGTAATGTGCGAATTTTTGCACTTACGTTCGCTCGCCTAAAATGTGTTAGTCTATATTATCTATGGTTGGTTGGTACTGGTCGTGTGTAGGCGGTGCCCTGTGCTGGATCTTCCTGCTATGCACCTGTTGAACGAGCAAGAGAGTCTGGCAGAGCGGTCCACCAGACTAGAGGCTGCAGGCCATATAGTCCGAGACTCCACCGCCCACTGGAGGCGCTGGTCCGAAGAAGAGAAACAGTCTGCTCTCTTGAAACTCCTGAAGGTATCGATTGGTCGCGGGATAATGTGAAGTGGATGTGTGATATCCAGCCTCTGGTAGAGTCTGGGGTATCGTGGGGTTTCGGATCTTATTGGAGTGCGGAGAACTGTGGGTAGCTGTGACTGTCTCCCTCCCCCCATTGGTGTGCTAATGGCCACCTTCAACTCCCCTCACAGGTACATATTACGAACACATGCTTGGTTGGTGTTGTCAATGAATCAAACATTTCACCTCTGTACGTACGTACATACATACTGCACAGTTTCAAACAAACCTTGAAGCTCTTTACATCGGCATGCACAATTTCAAGTGTATATAGGAGCATCACTGATATCATGATACACGGAACAATTTGTGATCACTAAATGGGCTTACTTTGCTCGCCGGTTAGTGTACATTGGATATAATGGTGCAGACATTCAAGGTGTTATGTATTGTGTGTCCACTCACAACAGTCCGAATGCAAAGCTATCGGTCGGTGCTCGAGCACTCTCGAAGCACTGTCATCGCGACACTTCGCACCAGTGGTGGGGCAACTGTACAGGATGTTAGTGAGAGAGCTTAACAACCCAACCAGTCTCTATTACTACAATATAGATAGATCTTCTCCACATACAGCTGAGGAGGCTAAGAATGAGCATGCAGTTGAGAGAGTGACGGCCGTACTGAGAGAAGCTGTCTGGATTAACACTCACTTCCTACCAGTCAGTGATACAATAATACTGCATCAGTGTATATTTACTGCGTTAATATTATTATGCAGCACAATGTGAAAGTAATTGAAGTGAGAACAAAGGAAGGTATGTACAGTAGTTGATGCCTGTTTGTGTGTGAAAAAGAGCGCTGTGTGGTGTGTGTGTAGTGTGCCTCTGAGCAGGTTATGGAGCGAGATGGTCACATGACGGACTAGAGTTCAGAGGTTTTGTTGAACCCCAGATGACAGATGGGCACCTCCTTGGATGGAAACACTAATACTCTCTCAATATCCATCAAATTAATGTTCACACTTTCACAATTTTTATCTTTGCTAGTCAAGTGGCTCAATGTTTGCATTAAATAGAGCATGCTTCCAAACGTGAGAAATACTGTTACCACGACAACGGGGATCAAGTGATTGTTTTGTCCGATGGGAACCATGGCAACCAGTGGGGGGTGTGAGGGTGCGGGGAGTGAGGGGCGCCTCCAGAGACAGAGTGGGGAGGGGGAAGTGGGGAAACACGGAAGGGAAACGGTGCCTCCTGCAACAGCATCAGAAAATGCAGTAATAGTCTGATTGTTCATGATTTCAAGCAAATTTGTGTGCTTGTGAAAAAATCCTAAGACCTATCAGTGTGGTGTGCTAATTATACGACACTGACACACAAATCTTTACTTATAAGATGGACAGGTTATATAGAGATCCGCGAAAAACACTGGTTTCAAGTAGCAGTGAAGATACGCAGTGGGAAGAGCATTAGAAGAAGGGACTGAACAAACCCTCTGGCACTTTCATTAGGAGATGGGGAGTGGGAATGATTGCTGCCGAGTAGGGGGTGGAGCCTGTTGCCTGGTAACGGAGATGCAGTGGAACCTTTACCTCGGTCCTGAAAGAATCGAGGATCAAGAAGAGAACCACGTCAATTACTCAGGGACTTACTCTGAGCCGCGCATTGTGACGTACACCAGTACAATGTGAGATCCAGAGTCTGCCACGTTTTGCTCAGTGTTTATATGGCCAGAGGATATCAACTACATAAAGAACACCGATATCTCAAATATACTTTGCCCGCTATTATTACGCTCACGTCTGGTCCTCCAAATGCAGCCATCTGAGAAATCTGTGACACGTATCGAAAAGCTGTATTATTTAGCAACAAATCGGACTATTGTGTGGACCTGATCCAGATCAATGTAAAACTGAGAGGTGACGTTGACTACAACGATCCAGTCTGTCCCTCTCCCTCTCCCCTGTCTCTTCAGAGTGACCACCAGGTCTCTGTGATAGCCTTCTCCCTCCAGACCATACTCCACTGACCCTTCTATCTCTTCTAGTGAGCCAGAGGTAGCAGCAGCTAGCTTCCCCAAGTCTTCTGTCTTCCCTGCAGGTGTATGGGGGGAAAGTAGTGAGCCATGTGTATCTTAGAGATGGTCTCACCAATGATAGAGAGATCTATAGTCACTCCATACACAACAGGGAGAACGGATAAGCAAAAGAGAAGTGAAGGTTTTCGCATTTCTGTTGTGCTCTTTGCGCATGCGTGTACACACTACGTAATCTTTCAGAATACGGACGGCTTGTTTCTCTGTTCGCAAGAAAATGGCGAGTTTCGTGCTCAGGCGTGCGGCGGGAAGACTAGCACCCAACTCTCTTCAGGTAAACTTGAAACAACCCAAATTCGTCTCTCTTGTCTTTTACCGTTCCCGTGGAGTGAGTGTTTGTATGTTTTACTCTAATACGTGCCCACCCCCGTCAGCGGTGGGCGTCTGCAGCTGCCGTTCCCCTGACGGAGAGCCTCCCTTACTACGAGGGCGCCGAACCGGACTCGAGGAAACCCCCCGAGGGCGTCAAGGTACACCTAACAAGCCATCGATCTAAGAGACAAGTCTCCGATTTCTTTGACCAGGTGACCAAGTTGAGCAATGGAGTCACGGTGGCTTCGTTGGAGACTCACTCCTTCTCCTCCACGTTGTCTGTCTACGTGAGAGCCGGGAGCCGCTTCGAGACCTACTCCCAACAGGGGCTCTCCCACCTTCTCAAGAAAGCTGCCTTCCTGGTGTGTGTGGTAATGATGAGCGGAAAACTAATGGGTAGTCCCCTATATATTATGCATAATGCAGCATTGGCCTTGTGTGCTCATGGTTCTCTTTGCTTGTCGGTCAGTATGGAATATGTTTGCTATAGGCTGCAGGTGGTCGGAGCACTTTTAGAGTTTTTCGTGAGATCGACCATGTCGGAGGCTCTCTCAGGTAGGTGTAAATATCAAATTCTACTTGTAGCTTACGGCCCTCTCTTTTCTTCTTCTCTCTTCAGTGCTGCAAATACCAGGGAACACGTGGTGTATCGGGCACAACTTCTACGTGGAAACGAGTAAGAATCTAAACTCACTGGATTCGTATTCCTAGTACCATTTGTACCTGTTGTGTGTGTATATAGGGACCTGGCGTTGGATATTCTGAGCAAAGCTGTAGTCTCACCAGACCTTCGGGATTGGGAGGTATGCATACATAGTCCAATATTTACCACGCACACACCGTGCAGTGTGACTGAGGTTCACTTTGTGCGATAGATTCAAGATCTGACTCCCAGGCTAGCTCTGGAGGTGACTGCCCACGAGGACGACCCAGAGTCCTGTGAGTTACACACAACTCCTCTCTGCCTGTTCTGTGTACCTCTAAACACTGCCACTCTTCTTACATACAGCCATTACCGAGACCCTACATGGAACAGCTTTCAGGTATGTATATACACTGCATAGTCTCATGGAACCCTCTCTACGGGAGGATATGTACCTTTCCCTCCCCTTGCAGGAATGCCCTGGGCAACTCTGTGTTGACCCCAAGGTTCAACCTGGGCCACGTGACTGCTAGCGATGTGAGCCAACCAGCCAACCATAGAGACTGAGATTACTGTGCTTTTTACCACCAATAGTTGAGGGCTTACATGGACGAGTGGTTTGTCGGCAGAAGAATTACTCTAGTGGGCATAGGTCAGCTCTCACAATATCTCCTTTCTCTTTCCTTTCTCTTTCCCTCTCTCCCTCCCTCTCTGCTGGCACTTTTGACATATGTGTGTGTGTGTGAATGCATTAAGTCTTCTTTAAAATAACGGATTTAGAAATATGCCGGCCACTATTTTACCTTACGTGTTCACATGTATAATGGTAGGAGTGGATCACCAGGAGCTGGTATCGAGAGCAGAATCCTCATTCTCCTCTGTCAGAGAAGGTCCCTCCAGTGACGAGGAGACCTGCCACTACTGTGGAGGTGGGTCATGTGACATCATGTGATCCAGTAGACTATAGCTCCGTGTGCTGTGTGTCAGGTGGTGAAGTGCATGTTCCGTCAAGAAGTGGACTCACTCATGCAGCCATTGTCTCTAAAAGGGAGCCAGGTCAGCTCAATTCTCTCCCTCTTACCTTTGGACTTACTCCTCACTCATCTCTCCCATAGTTAGTCTGTCATCAGAACAGGACGTCCTGTTAGCTGGTGTCCTACAGGTCAGTACTAACTCTCATATCACCTCTCCATAAGACAGCTCTGTTCCCCGCCAACAGCATCTGATGGGTACTGGAGAGTCGGTCAAATGGGGCAGTTCACCATCACGGTATGTGTGTGTGTGTGTGTGTGTGTGTGTGGCTCTGATGTCTGACACATATCTCTGGTCTCCCTCCAGTCTTGTGAAAGCTGGGTCTGAGGCCATCGACACACCTTTTGACGTACAAACACACAAACGCCACCCGCTCTCTTATCACATTCTTCATTCTCCTCTCTTTCTATCTGGCCCTAAACACACACACTTTTCTATCAACTGATTAAATGTGTATGTATATTATGTGTGGACTCATCTTCATTGGATTGTGTGTCACTCTTCAGGCTTGTGCTCTCAACTTCAGCTACTCTGACAACGGTCTCTTTGGGTTCTATGTGGTTTCAGAACCCCAGAACGCCGGAAGGGTACACTACAATGTACCATATTATGTATACCTACACAGTCTCCATGCTTATACTCCAAACCCTACCCATTATAAAGCTGTTGGTGATTGGTTATACATTGCTGTACCTGCAGTTGCTCCAAGCTGTGATGCAGGAGTTCAGCAGTGTGGCAAAAGGCGACGTGTCTGATGCAGACCTCACACGAGCCAAGTCAGTCACTCCCCAGTCTTCTCTGTGTGTAACATGTGAACACATCAAGTAAAATTTAACGCAAACCCTTTTTCACACTACACATAAAGTTTGAATGTTGAAGCTTAACAAGTGTATGACGGTTGAATTTCTACTTGTTCTGCATTCACATGTACAAAATGTCTGCCACGCAATGATTTCTCTCTCTTGCATTCTCTGTTCTCTGATTTACTGCTGCTGCTGCTACCAGGAACCAGCTGAAGGCCAGGTATCTGATGGGAGTCGAACAGTCCACCTCTCTCTCTGACAGCATCGCAGCTCAGGTTTTTAAATTCTCTCTACGTTAATATCATTCTAGAACTTCAGTTTGAGGGGAAGATTTTGTAGCTTAACGGTTTGAGGGCTATCTGTTAAGATGTTCCCTTGAGATTTGCTACTCCTTAAAAAAACAGTAGTTGATACCTTACTTTACTCCCTCCCTCAGTTGACCCAGAATGGAGACTACACTCCTCTAACCACAACCAACCAGAAAGTCGATGCCATTACTAAAGATGCCATCGTTCAAGTAAATGAAACTGTTTTATGTATTTGCGGGATCTTTTTTGTTTTCCATCATCTCTTAGTTTGCCAAGAGTGTGTTTGCAACTCGGTCGACGTTTGTCGCCCGTGGCAACCTCTCGGCCACACCTCGCATGCAGCAGCTGCTGGAGGGCGTGTCTCTCAGATGAACTCTGAACTCAGTCAACTGGAAACCATAGGCAAACTCTCTCCTTAGTCTTGGCACTGTCATATTGTATAGCTGTCGACATGTGTATATTATGCACCTTAGGAAATGTTATTTATGTCAAGTTCGTACTTGATGCAAAGTTATGCAACGATTTGCACAATATCTGATGATGTCGAACAAGTTAAAATCATGTACATGTGTTCAACCTGAAAGAAAATGATTTGCCTATATATGTGGTAGTCACAATTATTGACATTCAGTATTGTTTTTGATGGGTGTACAGTCTTGTCTGTGGTGGTTAGTGCTAGAAGATGGCCTCCTCCTCCTCCTCTATGGCAGTTAGTTCTACAGTTGATGGCCATGAAGAGACCTGTGACAAGCAGCATGAGGACGAAGTAGAGGAAGAACTGGTACACTAGTGAGATTGGGATCTGGACCACCGCCGCGTTGAGGAGCACACCCATGGCCTGGGCTATGTACCACAGAGCTGTCACCAGATTCCTGCATTTTGAAAGATGTAGAGAGAGGAGATATATTGATATTGATGGAACAACTGCACTCTGATATCAACTATCAAGGTATGGGCCACTTGTGTGCAGAGGCAGAAGGCATACAGCAAGAATCAGGGTAAAAATATGCCTATTTTGCAGTATGCACAACAGAACTGCCACTGTAGTAACAGTAAATAGAGCCCACCCAGTTTTCAACAGACCTTAGGTCAGGTGGGGCCTGTGAGTATGCCAACTCCAGTCCAGTCACACTCACTAGGATCTCGGCAAAAGAGATGAGCACTAATTGGGGTAGCTGCCAGGCGAGGCTCACGTCACCGTGGCAGTGCTCTCGACCAGGAGGCAAGTGGATATACAGCTGGAGAAGGCCTGGGGAAAGAGAATATTGAGGGAAGAAAACATTAGATCACTGAGTGTTACCTGACATTAGGAAGCTGAATGCAGCAAACAGCATCCCGGCAACTAGCTGTAATAGAAACAGATTGAGTCGTGAAACTATGTGTGGTTGCGCAATACCTTGTGTATTGGGCGGAGTTTAACTCTCATGGAGCTCTCGATGTGGGGGTAGATGAGGTAGTCCAGTAGGGGGATGATGAGTATACAGAGAACATCATTCACACTCGGCATTATATCTGGACCCAGCATTGGTATATACGTTCACACTCAACAGAACGAAAGAAAGAAGCCTTATGCACACTTCATCGTTAACTGGGATTCAGAACGTATTTTGACACTCAGCATTATTATACCTATAATTCACAACTCTAGTGTCACGTGTATAGTCCAGACCTGGTGGTACGTGAAGTCTCCCAAAGTAGCAGTCCATCTGTCTACCCTGGACCACCCAGGTGGAGCTCTGCTGGTAGAAAATGGCCCAGAACACTACCAGCGGAGTGAACAGACCCACAAACGAGGGAGAAGCTGTCTAGCTCGTGCCTTCACCGATAGCTTTGGCGTCACCACAACCTCCGAGTGGGCTGCAGTAGCACTACCACCTGATTCCCCATGAAGACCTTTCCCCCAGTAGAGGATCAGTCTCCTTGCAGCTATCTAGAGTTGCACCCTCGTTTAGTCTGGTCTCCGGTTTTCGTAATTTTCTCCGTGTCTTTTGGAAGCAGGTGCAGTGTTGTCTGTCTGGCTTCTTGCGGATGTAGAGACACCACGTGAACATAAAGAGTGCAGTTGTAGGGATAGTGGCCCCTATTGGTGACAGAGGAGAATGAAATGAAACATGGGAAATAGGGAATTATAGTGGGAAAATGATGAGGGAGAAAACTTCAATTTTTCGCAGTTTAATGCAAAAATTTCTCCATGAAAACTTGAAGGCGATGACGTTTGTACGTAGAAACCAGCAACACACAAAGGTTTTCTCAGCGAAATTCGTGCTTGCTACCAAAAAATGTGAAAGTTTCTCCATCGAAATTTTCCCACTACAATAATGGTAAGATACCAAGAACGGTGATCCAGGAGATGATGAAGCCCACAGACTGTCTCAAGACGGGCATGCCCAGCTCGCCACCAAGTGTCCCCACATTGCAGAACAGATAGTACCACGAAAAGGACCGCTCCTTTGCCTTGGACTGGAGACAATTAACGAAACTGACAACTGGGTTGAGGGGATAATGTGAGTCTTACTGTTCCCTCAGGAAACTGATCAGCAACAAAGACACTCTGAATGGCATTGGTAGAGCCGTACCCAACAGCAAACAACTGGGAAAAGTAACACAATCAGAGCTAAAATGATATGGAACCCAGCATCTGTGTAAAAGTTTTTTTACCACTAGCCCCACAATGGCTAGTGTGAGGCTGAGATTTGGAGGGAGGTGGAAATTTACTCCGTCTACGACATCGTCCACGTGGATAGCTGAGCAGTTGCTGCCACCACTGCTGCCAGGTGAGGCTGCAGGGAAGACAGTGGAGGATGTGTTGTGGGGGTCAGGTGGCCAGTGGCAACAGGCCGGCGGGTTCTGCGTGTACTGCCAGGAGGAGAACAAGACAAGACAGATGCCAAGACTCATCACGAGGTTGCTCGCAACCTGGGTCTTGAAGTTTCCTGCAGTTTTGGGAACTCCAATGATACAACCAGCACAGGACACACAATGGTTCATAGTTGCAGTCAGCAAGCATTTCTCGTATATATACCTAGAACTCTATCAGCTAGGTATCCGCCAGGCAAAGCACAGATCTGGTAGACGGCGATGTAGACGTTGATGCTGGTGCTGGCGAGGCGCACGGCCTGTCGCGAGCACACGTAGAGGAACGTGGAAAAGTAGAGCTCTAGAACGGCCTGCAGTCCCGGAGCCGCGTAGCTGGAGAAGGCGACAGGAGCTGAAAGAGAGACGTTCTAGTAGCACCGTTTACCTTTGTCCAACCGTGACCGTCATAAGGAGGATCATGGGTATAAATGGATAGGGTCTTTTCTTGCCATCTTCCTTGCTCTCTGACTCAACGGAGATTTGGTTCTCTTCGCTAGCTCTGTCGTGAGAAAGCGTCCCTCCAGGATCAGCTGTTTCTGCAGCCATTTTGCTGCGCTTACGAGCCACTCCCACTTCGTTATTTGTAATTGTCCGGATGTGGCAAGTTTACGGAAGAGGAGCGCTAACTCCGGATACGGCAAGTTTACAGACGAAAAGCGCTAACTAGCCCCTCCTACCTTCTCTGCAAAACACCATGGGTTTAGACGTGGATCGCTTCGAGGAAGAAGTTCAGGAGGACTTGTTATGCCTCTTGTGCAACAAAGTCATCGAAAAGCCGTCCTCCAGTACGTGCGGACACCTTTTCTGCGTCGAATGCCTGCAGAAATCGGTCGGGAAGAAAAGGAACTGTCCACATCTCAATTGCGGCACACCTCTGGCCGTCCCTGTGAGCTCTCGACGTGACGATATTGCAGGAAAAGAAGCTGAGGTGGCTTTGGCCGAAAGGCTAGGGAAGCTGAGCATCCATTGCTCGCACCAGAGCACAGGTTGCACGGTCGTGGTCCCGTGGACGAATCTTGATCGACACGCAGAGAGCGAGTGTGAGTACCGACCGACGCCATGCGAGAACAGGGGTTGTAAGGTACAGTGTCTCCGCAACAAGCTCGAAGAGCACATGGAGCGCTGCGAGCATCGTATCGTGGAGTGCAAGGTGTGCAAGGCGCGCCTGCCGCGGAAGGACATGACGGCACACCAGGCCGTTCGGCGGTGCTTCGAGGAGCTCAACAAGCGCCGGAGAGTTGCCAGCGCTCGCCAGTTCAAGTCCGAGCTACGGGACCATCGTCTGGAGATGCAGCACCGTCGTCACCAGACGGAGCAGGCCGAGAGGAGGATCGAGAGGGAGCATTATTTCCCGCCGGACGAACACTGGCAGAGAAAACGAGCTGCCAGCGCAGGTCCTGTCCTAATGCGGGCTCAGTCAGTGGGGGCGCGAGTCGGCAGTGCGATGGTCGTCTCGCACTACGCACGAAACCTACGGAGCGCGGCCGTGTTGGACTCTTGCCGCGGCTGCTCCAATCGCTTCCTCTCAGGAAGAAGACCAAGTGCTAGGAGACATTCACACGCTAAGGTAAGGACCTTCAAACCAATATTTCACAAAAACCATTTATTCTTTTCAACTCCAAAATCCATCACTATCATATTACAGCCGGTAAGTAACTAAGACAGTGCAGTGCTTGTGACTTGACTGACTCCCCCCGTGCAGTGTGACCATTGTGAGTATTGGAGACGATGGAACGGGCCGCGGGGATGGGCCTCCCTTGCTACATAAGAACAGCTATAGCTATGCACACACACAGTCATGCAAGCCTCACTTTTCCTATTTTTGTAGAGTATTGACTTTTAGTTACACCTGGTATATAAATTTGTTGAGAGTAAAGTGCCACTTAAAATAGTTGGCATGAAATGGGGCCTCTAATGTAAAGCTTTTGCCACATCATTCGAGAGCGTTACTTTGACACGGGCCCTCCCTCTCCATGAGCCTCTGCTCCAGTATGGTGCTCAGTCCTTCAAACTTGAAGTAACCATCAAAGTATTTGTTGTTGAAGACGAACGGGTACCAGAGCTTGTCGTCAGGCCACATCTGGTCAAACGGCACCGCACACTGATCAAACCACTGAGGCCTCATCTCTGATACGACAAAAAAGAACAAGGGACAATAAGAATGTTCTGGAAAAGCTAAGAAAAGGTGGAGGAGTTGTTACCTTCTGTTTCAGTCATCTCGCCAGAAAAATGGGTTGTCCGGAAAATGTGGACCTCCCAGATCTGAGGGTCATCGACAAATTCAAACAGCAGAACCCCCATCTCGTCTAGATTGGACACCAACAACCCTGACTCCTCTTTCATCTCCCTGCGCCATCCAACAACTGGTTGAAATACGTACTTGTTTTAGGATTTCTCACCTAACAGCGGCTTCCCTGATGGTCTCGTTCGGCTCCACTTTTCCCCCGAACCCGTTCCAGCGGCCATGCGCGAAGCCTCTCTTCTTGTAGCCCAGCAGCACCTGCGGCGTCGGCTGAGTCCTCAGCAGGAATACTAGAGTCAGGAGTTTGTTGGCGGGCCTGGGGACTGCCGATGACATTTTGCCTTTTTGCCACGTTATCGCGCGCATGCGTAGAAAAACCTTGAATGATCAGCAGACGGGCACCTCCGGCCGGATCGGATCCGAACTGGGACGGTGAAGCGGGTGCGGCCGTCAGCGTTTATACACTCGCAAGCGAAAAGCCGACATGGAGTTCACGTTGGCAGAAGCAGAGAGCATTGACCTAGCTAAGAAGGCGGTGGCCGAGATGCTGACGGTGAGCCTAGACAAGACTAGCAGACACTAGGATGCTCCATCTGTCTTCCCTCTGCAGAAACCAGAAGACCTGGAGAAGCTAGAGCAGTACCGTCGGAAGGTGGCCAGGAAGAAAGTAAGAGCGTAATATACCATCAATATACTATATACCAGAGAACTTGCTGACTTCAGCATGTCTCTATTCCAGGCCACGGTGGAATCCCAGCTCCGGAATGCGGTCCAGACACAGTTGGAGGGTGTCCAGACCGGACTGGAGAATCTTGGCGAGTAAGCCCCTCTCGTTAATTGAAGAAAAAAACCGAGCTAACTAACAAAACCATGGGGCCATATCTTCTCCAGGGCACAGAAAGTGATAAGTGAAATAAAGATCAGGTATGTGTTTGGTATCGCTCAAAGTGTATGCTACTGTTTGTGTGTTTGTTTTTGTGTCTTGTGCAGTATGGCTGAGGTGGAAGACGTCTTTCACGAGAAAGGGGCGGAGCTCTCGGAAGTTGTTCGACCAATCAAAGAAGTGAACCGAAGACACCAGCAGGTTGAACATAATTATACTCGACAACAGATTTAAGGGAATGTTTGCTCGTTGGCGATTTGTTGTTTTGACGCAGTTGAAGACGACAAGCGATCATATCCACAACATTTTCAACGTACCGCAAGCAGTTTCCGAGACCCACGAACTCATCAAGGAAGGGAAACTGCTGGAAGCTCATCGCAAGTATGAAAAACCCTTTAAATAAATGTCAAATCTTTGTCCGTCCCTCTCCCTCATCTCTCCTTTTATCTTCATCTCCTCCCTCTCCTCCTCCCTCTTCTCCTCCCCTTCTGCTGCAGTCTGAGCGAGTTGGAACACACCCGCGACGAGCTACTGATGCAGCTGTACCACGGAGACGATGCCTACGTCGACAAGAACACAGTCAGTCACTCCTCATCAGTCCACTTGGCCTCACAAAACATGATCATTTTTCCCCTTTTTATATGCAGTCACTTCACCACTACTATGAAGAGCTTATTGGACTATCAGTAAGTGTGCGTGTTACTGTATATCCTCATTATGAATCTGATGGTTTAGCAGTGGCAGTCGTTAACGCCCCTTAACAAATTTCACCAATAAGCAAATTGACTATAATATACCGATATTGCCAGTAATAATAGCATTGTTTGTTGTTAGGGGAATTTGGGGCAGAGTCTGTGGATGATAATGAACTCCGCCACTCTCTTGGTGACAGAAAATCCAACAAAGGTCGTGACGGCTCTTCGCATCATCGAGAGAGAGGAGAGGTAGGAGAGAGAGGGAGGACGGGAGTGAGAGAGAGTTTTGTTTTCTTGCAGGATCGACACCATGTTGGTAGAGACGTTGGATCTGAAGGGAATCCCTCCGTCACAGATCCCAGGCCGACCCAAGAAATGGAGAAGCAAGTGCATCGAAATGCTCGAGACCTCCATCAGCAACAAGTAACTCACCAGTTTTATTCCTCTCCGCCAAAAACCACGCCTATTTCTCCGCCTTTTTGTTCTCTTCGTTCCCCATTCCCCCTCTCCCACTCCCCCCCCTCTCCTCCCCCATTCCCCCTCTCCCACTCCCCCTCTCTCCTTCCCCCATTCTCCCCCTCGCCTCTTCTAAAGATTCGAGAGCCTGGAGACCACGTCGGAGCAGAGAATAGAGAACAAGGACTGGTTGATGGAGCATCTCTCAGAGGTGGCCCGAACCTGCTACATGGACCTACAGGCCATCACAACTGCCGGCGTTCAATGCTTCCCTCCCAGCTACGATATAGCCGCCTTCTTTATCAAGAGATACCATCGAGGCCTCATTGAAGTAGTGAGTGATATAATTATAGTGTTTCGTGAATTTTGAGGTCTGCAAAATATTGTCCAAAAATTTTGTGGGGCAGAAACCTGAGGTTGTGGTGAAGGGAGAAGTATACTTTTCTAGTTTCAAGGTTGCATAATTAACACACTCTGGCAAAATTTGGGTGATTTTCATGTACGTGTGTGTGTATGTAGATATGCCAACTGATTGACATGGGGCTAAATGCCAGAGACATCATCACACTCATGATCTGGATTGGAGACATCAAGTAATTCAGCACAAAATATTGCCGAAATTCAGTAACATTTCATTTGTCTGTCGTGTGGTGTGTGTGTGTGTGTGTTTCTACAGGACCTCATTTGCTGAGACACTAGGAGTTGACCTGCAGTCAGTAGGGCCTCTAATGAAGACAGACGTCGAGACTGATCTCCTGAAGACGTACGTAAAGAACAGCTAGTAATACACACTTACCAACTATGTAACCCCCACATACTGATAGTACACCCATGAAGTCAGTGTACATAATTTTGCCTACTCAAACTCATCGGCCAAGTGTTAGTGTTATCACAAAATTATTTTCCTCAACTCGGTTTTTTGTCTGAATTTGCTTCCCAGAGGAACATCTTATGCTCTAGTATGTTGACTGAGTACATTACACGTGTGTGAGGCTGCAATGATGGTGCATTTATATATACTGTAGATGTCACGGACAAGTGGAGTCGAATGTGAGGGAACTAATGGGGAACATGGTAAAGACCGAACAAGAGGTGATTAACATGTCGGTTGTATTTTTAGTGTTCTTTGGAGCCAAGTATGCAGTATACGTTCGGTGAAATTGCTCACAGGTGTCATCTTGTTACTCTCTTTCTCCTGTCAGGAATGGAACAGCCAGCAGCCTCCCGAGTGCGACGTGAAAGGAAAATATTACACCCCAGTCGGGATTAACCTCTTTCAGATCATTGACCAAAACGTACATGAACACCTCGTAGCAGCTTGTCTCTTGATTAACCCTTTATTCACTGAATTCTGCAGATCCAGGCTCTAGCTCCACTAGGCCTACCCACTAAGATGAAGGTAACATCACACTAGATCGAATGCAACATGTTTTTCGGAAAAAATTTTTTTGTGAGCGAACGCTAGCAACTCTGAGACGATTTCCAAACTGCTTTTTGTGCTTGTTGAGTGAGGCACCAATCATGCGTCTTATCGTTTGTGAGAGTCATCAAAGCATGTTTATGTAGTGCTGAGGTAGTGTTATTATTATTATTGTACATATTATACATGTCATCTGCTGATTCAGGTCCTGAAGATATGTCTCGGTGCACTGGACGAATTTCAGCGGAAGTATAGAAGTGAGAGAAGGGAATGTGTGAATCTCTAACGTCACTGTTGCTCTGCAGATGCTCTGGATGGGTATTACAAAGATGCAGTTGCCGGTCGTATTGAGCCTCCTTGCTGTGTCCTCTACATTGTGAGTGTCCTCTTCAACCAACTCCTGAGCTGCCAACCAGCACATGGATTCGCCCTGCTTAATTTTACGAAGGAATGAACACACATGGACAAATTTGTGTTTTATAGGACATTGCCCCTGTTTCTAACCTATTACCACCCGTACATCTTCCGTGAGAGCACAGAATTAACAATTACATAGTACTAACGTAGTGCATTTGGAAGCTCTGTAACTGTCTCCTGCCACTCCCCCCTCAGATTGCCATAGCCAACAGCTGCAGATCCTGCGTGGAGTTCACTGAGCAACTCAAGGTCAGCTTCACACCCAGTGCCACCACTTTGTAGTTTCCGGGTTGTAGTCACTTTTTTGGACACTTTGAAATTGCCTGACTCTGTGCAGTACTAAGGGTAACTCAGAGCTGATTGCATATTACATAGGGTAAATCAGTTGGGCTAGAGGCACTGCCAGTGCTAGTGTCCTTCCAGATCGATACGTTTGGTGGGTTGCTGTCCTTATGTGATCAGTCTTCAACACTGGTGTATGTATGTACAGAAGAGGATGTGTATGGAGCTGAATGAGAGCACATTGGACAAGGAGTTTGAAACGGGATTCAAGTCAGTGGCCGAGGAGTTCGACAAAATAGGGCTTCACTGGTGAGACCACACCCACTGCTGACCACACCCCTCTCATTCCCTCCCTCACTCTTCTCAGTTGTGATATACTAGTGGATGTGTTATTCACTGACCTCAAGAAAGTGCTCGGTGGACTAATGACACGTGATGCATGGTAACCAACCTACAGTATAGTGGGTTGTTGTGATTTGGTATAAGAAAAACATTACTGCATGCTGCTTGAGATTGATGGTCCCATAGCCACAAGATTATCAGAGAAAGATCTGTAGAGATTCCTTAAACAAAGGGTTTTTCCCCTTGAAAATAACTAGTGAATGACACGATGTGTATACTGTACGTCTGTATGTGTTGCGTGCTGCAGGTTCAGCCAACCAATGGTGCTGGTGGGTACTGTCGAAGGCACCATACTCGACTTCAACGGAGATTTCTCGAAACTCAAACCAGCGTGAGATCTTGTATCTCTCTCTTTCTCTTTCCTTATCGTTACCATTCCCTCCCCGCCCCCCCGCCACATGCAGCTACCATACCTATGTCATAGTACAGTGTCAGCAGAGGGTCATTGAGAGCTATCTACTGGCGCTATGCAGCAAGTCAGTCCATACTCTAGAACTACCATTATTTCAGGGCAAAACGTAAAATAGGCTAACGGAAAACTATTGTCTTACCTACCGAACCCACACCATCGTCTTGTTGCCCACCCAACTGTATGACTGCATATATGTCATTAGGAGGATGGTGTTGAAGAAGGACAAAGAGAGAGAGAAAGCTGCCGAGTACATCGTCGACGAGTCGAGAAAGATGAGCGCCATGTTTCTGAGACTCTCTCATGCCTGTAATCCCAGAGTAAGCTTCTCCCCTCTCTCTCCTCACTCTGATCTGCCACCCCTCACCCCTCCTCTCCTCACTCACACTGTAGTACACACAACTCATAGAAATGATGGCAGAAGTCATCAAGTCCAAACAGGAGTACCTCCCACTTGACATATCAGTGAGTTCTATATACATATTAGATACCTGGAGTTCATGTTATATCGATGGCTGAAATGAGGACACCTCTCTAATAGGGACACTTTTTCTCTCCCCAAGAAACATACATGCTGTACCAGAAACCGCTATAATTATACGTCAATGTTGCAATGCCAATTTCTGCAACCCTTGAATAAGAAAAGGACATGGCTTTTTTGTCCATTAGTGTGCAGATTAGAGGGTTCGTCACTCTAACCTCTTCTCCGTCTCTTTCACTTTCACTCCAGAGTTTGGCCAACAAACATCGAGAGGTCAACGAAGGTCACGTGGTGGCTCTTCTTGCAATGAGGGGGGACATGAGCAAGGCACAAGTCACCAAGGTGGGTGTCGTCTCTAGGGATTAAGGGGGTTAATGCTAAACCGCTCATTTGCTGATGTATGGGAATTATGTAAGCAAAGGGGAAGCTGTGTTTCCATACTACCTCAGCAGGAAACAAACTTAAGCTGTTCGATAGCATTAGTGAAAGTTTTGTCTGTGTATATATGAAGGGGCGTTTATTTCAGGAACCCGCGACTTCTTTAGCAAAGCTCTCTCTCTCTCTCTCTCTAGATGCTGCAGTCCACTGTGCTGGGGAAGACAGAGGAAGAGGAGGAGGGGGAAGGTGCCAGACCTGGCCGCAGGAGGGAAGAGAAGAACATTCTGGCTCAGATCTCTGTCAAGAACCACTGGGGCTTGCTAAAATGAACTTCACTTTTCATATCACCATTTTACTGTTCTAGACAGCCCCATATATACCCATTTCCCTCTTTCAGTTGAACAATGCTACGCACACTTATCAGCGAGCAATCCTGTAGACTGGTGTACAATTTAGTCATCAGTCATCATCGTCGTCATCCATGAGGTGCAACAGGGTCATCTCTCCTTCGATCCGACTTTCTTGTCCCCCGTCCCCCTCCCCCTTCTCCTCTCCCTCTTTCTGCATCTTCAACACCGCCTCCAGATGCGGGTTGGGGGCGTGGCTGAGCGATGTACCAAACTCTATCTCTTGTACCTCACTCTCACCTACACAAACACATCGCTCAAAGATTACGTCGTGATGATGTGATAGTTGGCCACACCCACCTCCTCGTAATCTAACGAGCACGGCACTGTGAGTGAGGTCAAATGAAGGAACACATATGGTCAGTACTGACTGTCCATCACACCCTGTACATGAGATTGAGAACAATATTCAAACATCTAAGTCAGGGAAAACTAGCAAATTTTGTGGTCGAAACTAATTTTTGTAGATGGGAAAAATGTTTTGCAAGGGGATGACAAACAGAAGTTTACTTCCCACCTAGGGCAGCTCTTCTTTCCCCACGGAGAACAAGGCTATTTAGTAGCACAGGTTTTTAACCTGTGATTCTGCCGCTCTGGAAAGACGGTTGGTTCCCACAGAAGTAGACGTGTGGACATGTGTTCATGATGAAAGGGTCCTGGTCTTGATAGGGGTAGCAATCTGGGGGAATAAAGACAGAACGACTAAGATCACTGTCTCAGATGCTGCAAGGAACACATCAACTACGCTCCAATTTTTCTTACTTTTTCGTCTACACAGCTAGAGGCCGTTTTTTGGTATTGGTTTGGCACCAAAAGGATGAGTATATAGGAGTGGAACCGCTCTAAAAGGATATCCCTGAAATGAGGACACCTCTCTAATAAGGACATCTTTTCTTTCCCCAAGAACAGTTCTGCATGTAGTTTAACGCACACCTTATATACTAATAGGTTTTTTTGTCCCATTGTAGAGAGGTCCTCCTGCTAAAACGCTCAGCTACAATATTAGAGATGGACTGACTAACTGAGGGTGTCGGGGGATGTAGGGAGCATGTGCCTCCATTGGAGTGTGTTCTCCAGTATCTCCAGTCTGTCAGTCAGCGACGAGAACTTGTATATGTCGTCAACATTCTGACCTGAACAGCCCATGAATCTGCAGGAAGAGAGTAAGCGAGAATGAAAAAACTGTCTTCAGATTTAAAAAAATTTGCCTAACAAAATTTATTTTCGCAGGTTTATTTTTAGTATCAGGGCATACGTAATGGAAAAATATCCCAACGTTCTGATGTGTCGGAGAGTATCAGACACAAAATGCCCTGAAGAGGGGGCCTCGCATATATTCACTGTTAAAACCCCTCTTATTGTGAACAGGTCCACACACACACAAGGCAGCTATAATATACCCACGTACACCGTTCCCCCAATGACTGTGTGGTAGGGGTTGGTGAGAGAGGAGAGGCGTCCCGTGGCTCTGGCCCGAGGGAACATGCAGAGGTGGAGAGGTTGCTGGGGCAACTGGTAGTTGGCTGGGTCGTTGGCTCCTGGCATTAGATCCACAGGCACGCACGACTGATGGAGAGAGAGAGAGAGAGAGAGAGAGAGAGGTGGTCCATTGGTAATTTAGCTAAGTCCTCACTGTAAGTTGGGCCAGAAAATTGTCCATTTCTTTCACAGCTTCGACGGTGTCTGCACTGTAGTTCCTGGTCTGAAACCTGGCCTGCAAACCCACACACACACACACTCTGTCATGTCATGCATATCTATTACACACAGCATTAAAATGACGCTGCCAAATCACGTTTAAACAAAGTGCTTTTGATTTTCATGATACAACCCCAACTATGGCTAGAGTCGTCTAAGTGTGGTAATTATACTCTTTACGTGTGGCTTCTTCTCTTGTCTCTCTGCGTTCTTGGAAGTCTCAGGAGTGATAGAGTTGCCAGCGACGATGACTCTTACCAGACTGGAGCAAAATCTCTGGTCCTGTGTATACAAGTTATATTGGTGAAATTGTAGTGTGTATGGCGAAATATGAAACTTCATTGACTAAAGAGCTCAGATGCGAGATGTAGTAGGTTACCGAGACTCCTCCCAGTTGACCGGTGACGTAATCGACAAACATCTCGAGACTGAGTTGGTCACACCACGAGGAGCCCATTCCCAGACCCGATACCAGGAGCACGTACCTGGAACCAGACCACATCCATTAAAAATACATACATGAGTGGAACCTATCTAAGGACATCTCTGAAACAAGGACACCTCTCTAACCAGCACTTTCCCCATGAGAACAGTTCCAGAGTTTAACTCCTGAAATAAGGATATATACCTCACTAATTTCTACTTTTCTATTGGTCTCCAGATTTCTGTATGTTAAAGCACTAACCTCTCTTCCTCCTCTTGTTCCTCAGTCTCCACGCTCTCTTCTCGAGAAGGCAGACCAGCAAAGGTATAGTCCTCTACCTCGAACACTCCTCCCCTCATCGCTGTCCCCAGCAGAGCCACTAACACACCTGTATAAATACAGAGTTAGGTCCATACAACAGACAGTACAAACTATTATAATACCGGTGACAAGATGTGGAGAAGGAATGTTTCCAGAGAGAGGGAACCTCTGACTGGAGTCCTCCACCACCAGCTGGTCTGAACTACTGGTCAGCTTGGCTCTAGGAGGCTGGGACAGCAGATGATGCTGGACAAAGCGAGACAGAGAGAGAGAGTTGCAAGAAGGTAAGAGGAATTGCCTCACACTTGTGCTGATCTCCTTCAAGATGCTTGGCTTTAGCTCCATCTTCTTGAAGAGGGTTCCAATTATGCAGCACCTCTCTCCTACCTCCGCCTCCAGCAGTCTCTTCTTCACGTTCTTCACACACACCTCATTACCTGCAACAGATTGTGCTACAACTCATCCTGATGTGCAGAATAGTGTCCGCAAATTGTGTCCAGATTCCTGAATTACTTATAGTGGGCATACCCCATTCCCTGGCCGCTGCGTTCTCCAGGTAAGGCCTCATCTTCTCCAGACGAGTGAAGTAGATGTGGGCGTACTGGGTGACGTAGTTTCGCTCCCGCAAGCGAAATCTCTCGCACAGGTTGAGATAGCTGCAGCCGCTGCGGGTATGCGTCTTTCTGAAGGCCTCGTCCTCCGCCGTGGGACGACAGAGGAATTCCTCTGGCTCTGCCATATATATTCGATTCCTCATGCATGAAGTTCCCGCCATGCGCATGCGCAAGTATGAAGCCACACCCACTTTATACGAATGGGCGTGGCTAATTTTACATTTGCCGAGTCAGCGAAAATGCGGAGGACGAATCCGTCTTCGCGGAGCCTGGCCGCTCAGGTGGAGCCGGACGTCGGGAACATTGTGTTTGCCACGGGCGGCTACGACCACTCGGTCAAGTTCTGGCATCCACACGACGGCGTCTGCTACAGAACAGCGCAACATCCCGAATCGGTGAGTCACCTCTCATTCTAATCAACGCACACCATCTGTGGGGCCTCTATTTTTACCGTAGCAAGTGAACAAGCTGGAGGTGACCCCCGACAAGAGACTAGTAGCAGCTGCAGGTGAATTTTGAAATCATCATAGACATTACAACCTCGCTACTTTGCACATTGCAGCTTACCAGCAGATCCGAATGTATGAAGTCAACTCCTCAGAACCATCTCCTGTCAGTTATCCACCTCCTTATTACACCAGCTAACACCCCCTCTCTCTCTCTCCTTGCTGCAGGTGTATGTTTTTGAAGGCATCTCAAAGAACGTGACTGCAGTGGGTTTCTATGAGAATGGACAGTTCATGTACTCCGGAGGAGAGGATGCCACTGCCAGGATATGGGACCTCAGAATGGGGTATGTCTTGCTTGACTCCATCTCTCCTTATCTCGCTGTCCCTATTTTTATCTCGCCTTATCTTTCTGTCCCCATCCCAATCTCGCAACTCAACCGAAAATTCTAGACGATTCTACACGTCTTGTTTTTGTTTGTTGTTGGATTCATGAAATACTAATTTGTATGTCTAACACACCTCGACCGGCTGCGTTTCCTCCCCATATTAACGCCAGTCTTACACGCCCTGATTGTCTCCCTCCCACAGAGGGGCATCTCAGCAGTGTCAGAGGCTATTTCAGGTGAACACTCCAGTCACCAGCATCTGTCTCCACCCCAACCAGGCCACGCTGGTGGTGGCAGATCAGAGCGGCACCATATACCTCTGGGACCTATCCACCGACCACAATGAACAACACGTGAGCTACCTTTTACATGCAGCCAATAATCTGTGTGTTTTTGTTCTGCATCATGCGTGTGAAAACTACGAGGTAGAAAGGCAAAGGCACAACAAACAAATGTACAACTACACCAATTTCTATGTCTAACCCCTAGCACTGTTTCTTTGTAACATTTGTTCTTTCGTGACCTTTGTTTAGATTATGAATAAATAACCTGTAGTGGTTTCTGCATTCTCAGTTAGTAGTGTATCTTAGCGGTAGGTTGGCAGTGGACTTAGTCGGGGTATTGAAGATTGTTGGTTGGCCTTAATTCCTGGGCAGATTCCTGAACCAGATGTGTCCATTCTCGGGATCGACATAGACCCAGATGGAGCCTACCTGGCTGCCGTCAGCAGTAAGGTAAGTTCATCTCTTAACACAAAAACCTTCAGCTAAATTTTCTTAATGAAGGAACTCTAAAAAATACGCATACTCCACTACACTTTTGTTAAATCCTCTGCTCTTAATTTCGGCTGTATAATTATACCACTATCATTCTCACCCCTCCGATTACGTATGTACCTTGTTATCTCTGTTTGTTCTCTAGGGTACGTGCTACGTGTGGAGTCTGTCTAGCGGTGTAGGCACCAGCCCCATCACACTCACCCCTCGTGTCAAGAAAAACGCCCACTCCCGCTATGCCCTCAAGTGCCAGTTTAGCCCTGACTCTAGGTCAGTCAACAATTTTACTTAACAATAATATGGCCTGAAGGTATTTGTTATCCAGTTTACTATATATACTGGATACATAGCAGTTACAAAGATGGTGGGGATGGGGTTATAAATGAGTTTTGATGTGTCTCTATATCGGCACCCCACATGTTTCCCTTGATTTTTATATAATTATGATGTGACGTCCTTGTTTTCCCCTTCATTTCAGAGGAAGGATTTATCCGCTTGATATTATACTTGTACAGATCACTGCATAACCTGAAACAATAGTTAGTAGACATAATTGCTGGTCCCCTCTTAGTCTGCTGGCCACGACGTCAGCCGACGGGACGTGCAAGATCTGGTCCACGGCTGACTTCTCCCTGAGGAACACACTCAAGAAGAGTCCAGACCGATGGGTGTGGGACTGCGCCTTTTCCAGCGATTCCCAGTTCATTTTTACTGGTCAGCCCCCTCCCTCCCCCTTCCCTCTCTCCTCCCCCCTTTCCCTCTCTCCTATAGTAGAATCCTCCTTGTTTAGTTTGTTTTCTTCCAATGTGCTATAAATACGCTTTTCCGGATCCTAATTCAAAGTTTCCGGACTCTACATGAATTGGAGTCCACACATGGACCAATCAGATTGCGTGATTTACTCTTACATCTCGATTATCTCTGTCACAGCGTCGAGTGATCACGTGGCTCGACTGTGGCACACGGAGAAGTCTGATCCAGTCAGAGAGTACCGCGGACACACCAAGCCAGTCACCGCACTAGCCTACAATGACAGCAATAGTCGATGAACGGATGTATATACATACATACACATGTATGACCGATCAACTGCACTTTACACATCGTTGTTTTTCACAATCATGTTTTGTATCGCAAATAGTCATGTGTTGAAGAATTCCTAAACCCCTGTTGTGGTAAACGTCTGCTCAAGCACTATATATACTGTGTACACAAAACGACAATGTTTAAAAAGACAATGCATACAAGATAAAGTAAACGGAGTAAACGTCACGTGCAGAAGACTTGTTTACAGAGAACTATAGATGCAAGGCATATGGACTATCTTTACCTACGATAAAAGCTGCATGATTATAAAAAATAAAAGCAAAATGGCAAATAGTGTGCATTAAAAAAAATCTGAGATATATATAAGGGACAGGTGTGCATTAATAAGAGTGTCAAGCTTCTCTAAGTGGCTCGGAGGAAAGTCGTTGCGATGGAGAAATCTCTCGGAGTTCGTTGGAGGGAGTTGACTGGTTACCGTTCACTGGTCTCTGCAGATCGTTGTACTAGAATAGAAGCAGGCAACAATTTTGAGATATAGAGGGCCTAGAAGAACCACAGCAGCTTATTCATACAGTTGCAGACATTCTTGAATATAAGGTGAATCTAAGGCAAGTGTGCTATTATACATAATTATGTTGCAGTGGTGCAGAAAATGAATATGATTATCTATGTGAGTGGGTATAGATCTCTTACGGGCCTCTCAAACACAGGAGAACAAAGAGCTGTGTGTGTGTGTGTGTTGAGTCATTAACGACTTACGTACCAACCTGAGGAGGATCGGTACCTCCCGACTGGCCCCTGTTTCTATTGTAGGAGCTACTGAATGAGGGAGGACGGGAGGGAGGGAGGGAGGGAAAGGAGGGGAGAGAGGGGAAGGAGGGAGGGAGGGAGGGAAGGAAAGAGAAATGAAGGAAGGAAGGAGGAGAGGAAGAAAGTAAGTCAAAATTTTCAGACTGCAAACTAACCTGTAATTAGTGTTGGTTCCATACGACTGCCACACACCAGATGATGGATCAGACGGAAACGAAAATGCTTCAGCTTCTTCGTCATAGTCACTGTGTGTTTAGTAATCTCTAGTAAACTTCAGTATACTACTGTTATATGTATGTGAGAACTGACTTTGATCGGTTGCAGTAAAAGCCGGTGTGGAACGTTGCCGTGACAACCAGGACCATCATCCCGATGCACAGACCACAGACAAGACCAAACAGGACCACAAAGTTCGTACTGCAACCAAATAAGACCAGTAGGTGACCAAAGATGACAAACGAATACTATCGGTAATATAGACACACTCACTAGGCATCGCTGCATAGAGTCTGCAGCAGGTCCAGATAGATCTGTAACATTGCAAGTAGAGAGAGAGCCAGAAATGATACTGGGCTAGACATACAAACCTCCATCAGGCGCACAAGGTGCACATTATATTGAATGTGACCAGAAATGATACTGGGCTAGACATATATACAAACCTCCATCAGGCGCACAAGGTGCACATTATATAGAATGTGACCAGAAATGATACTGGGCTAGACATATATACAAACCTCCATCAGGCGCACAAGGTGCACATTATATAGAATGTGACCAGAAATGATACTGGGCTAGACATACAAACCTCCATCAGGCGCACAAGGTGCACATTATATAGAATGTGACCAGAAATGATACTGGGCTAGACATACAAACCTCCATCAGGCGCACAAGGTGCACATTATATAGAATGTGACCAGAAATGATACTGGGCTAGACATACAAACCTCCATCAGACGCACAAGGTGCACATTATATAGAATGTGACCAGAAATGATACTGGGCTAGACATACAAACTTCCATCAGGCGCACAAGGTGCACATTATATGGAATGTGACCAAACAAAAACACCTGCTCAATACTTGTTCCAAGGTTCACAAGAATTTTGTAAGTTAATCAATCACCTCGTGGATGAAGCCACAGGAGCTGATTTTGTTAACCCCAGTCATGGATCCATTGAACCCTCTCACCACCTCATCCAGCAGTGGCTGTGTGTGAGAGAGATAAGTCCTTATTTGGTAGTATTTTAGGCCTCCATTTAGAAGTGGGGGCAAAATGACATATTGAAAGAAGGAGGGTCAAAACCGTGTGTTTGTAAAGGTTTTCAGGGGGGCAAGTGCCCCCTGCCCCCTTAAACGAACCCCGGGTTTTTATATAGTAGTGTTAACACGAATGAATTGATCATTGATACCAGTTGGTTTACCTGTAGAGTGGTACTGTTGGCACTAGACGACGTATAGTTCTTTAGGTCATTTTCTAGCAGGTCTATCAACTCAAATGCCGCTGTTGCTCTCATGATTTCCTGAGAGAGGAGAGAGGGGGTGGAGAGAGAGAGAGAGAGAGAGAGAGTGAGGGTAGATTTGTGAAAAGACGGAGGGAGAGTAAGACGGAGGTGTGAGGAGTTGGAAAAAGTTAGTAAAACGATCGGGTGAGGAAGTGAGTGTGTGAGAGGGAGGGAAGGGACGCATAAGTTGGTAAAAAGAGATGGCAAAAAGATGGAGTGAGGGGGTATGAATTGATGCTGGAATAGACGAAGTCCTCACCTGACGGTAAGGATTGGGTTGGCAGGTGTCGTTGCAGACCAGGTAATAGTTTACAACATTCAGGTCCACTTCAGCAGGCAAGAGAAGAGAGAGAAACAGATGCAAGAACAGAGGCAAGGGGGTGAATAAGTCATTTACACGAATGAGGGGCTAATTATTACAACATGACATTCCACGGGTAATGTGTCCATAGCAACTACACACCTGGTGTGTACATAATTAGTCTATTCCCTTACATAGGCATACTTTACTCAATTTGCATTAGTCTAAGCATATTATACCCACACATTATAATGTACTAGTATATAGCTAATAGTCTTACTATAGTGTAATGTTCACTGTACAGCGTAACAAAAATGGTGCTGCATTACAGTGTATTGGTATTTGTAGGCAACCGACATGTATGAAGTTAGGTACTGGGGGGAGCCTATACAATCCTACATGTGCAAGAAGGGTTCATACAAGTCATTTGCCTACGGATATCCAACAAATCTGTTGCAGTGCCCAGACAGGACAGCATTCGTCCTTACAGGGCTCATGCTGCCCTGTCTGGGCACTGGGCACTGCAACATATATATATATGTATTGGTATATACCTGCATCAGACTGGGCCTGTGTGAGGTTTCTAAGGAGCAAGTCTGGATCGTAGCAGATATCACCCACCACCTGATAGAACACAAATAAAACATGAGTCCACTCTATAGAGATAACTTCATGTTGTACTCGGTCAATAATTATGTATGGCATAAAACGGGCTCTCCTGGCTTGCTAGCCAGCAGCTACAGAGACAGAGTTGAGCTGCCCCACTTGTTAAAGAGCTTTCATCTAGCAACACAGAATCCTAGCTTGTATCAGTGTGTGAGAAAGTCTATGAGATCCTAACAGTGTTGTGGGATGTGGGGATCTAGACTTACTATAAGGAGAGCCAGATTTCCTCCAACTGCCACCCACAGAGTTAGCGTCAGTATTACCAGAAGCACCACCATTCTGAGAGAAGAGAGAGAGAAAGAAAGATAGTAGGTGGGGAGAGCTTTACTGTACATGTTGTATCGCATACAGAATATACATAACAAATTCTAGAGTCATGTATCATAGAACGTGTGGAATTAAATCGGAATGTACAACAAAAACAACACAACATTACAACATTTCACACAAACACGTTCTCGTTTAGACAACTCCACGGGTCACATGACATCACACGACGGCTCACATGATGAGGAAGGCGGGGTTGGAGACGCAGATCCCGCAGAGAATGGCGACCACCAGTAATATCAGGACCAGCAGAACCAGGCAGAGGTACGCTATCACCACGTAGTTCCTGGGGGATTAGGAGGAGGGATAGCAGCTCGTGAATATCATTATCACCCCGCCCTGCCCACCTCCCTGAAATGAGATTAGTTCCTCCATACCTTCCCACTGTCGTGGTTGCTACGCTGGCTAATCGTGTTGGCCCGGCACAGAGGCAAAACGTGACTAACGACTCTCTTTAAGCAGTCGCTAACTTTCCATCAAATTTGCTAAGCATTTTCAGTTCCCCCAGGAGGTATGTTATGTACATACCTTACACTCACACTGATTGCCTCTATGCTGGCCCCAAATACAAATTATTGCGTAATTGATTGCCAACAAACCAACCTACTAAGTGGCCAATAAAACCAATCTCCTTTTGCAACTAAGCTCTCTTGCTCGACATTTTGACATTAATTCTCCCAGCAAGCACTAGCTGTATTATCTGAATACAAGCACTGTCCTTTTGTGTTGAGAAATGCACTTGACTTGCATTGAACTCTGTGATTTCATTCTTACCTAAATGCCTCCACAGCCCTGTCAGCTTCAGTCAGAATATTCCCGAAGCGAATCGGATTCACGAAGGAATCGATATCTCCGTACACGTCTCCCAGCTCTGCGTTGGCTGTCTTCAGTCCGTCCACCTCGGTCAGCTGGGTGGTAGGTGATGGGGTCTGCTCCGAGAGGGCGGATCTTAGAGCATCCAGACTGGCGTTTTGCTCCGCTTCGTTATAGAGGCTGGACTGATGAGATGAAAATGAGGGAGTAAGTTAGAGGTACTGGTGTTAGTTGACAACAACACTAGAGTGAAATTCTAAATATGGGACACCTTTGGAACATTGAAAGTCAAAAAACTGCCCCTCGTTTGGAGGTAGTATGAGAGTTTTTTTACTCAGAGGGTCCATAAGCGGAGGTGACACTGTACTGTAAGGTTCTGCCGGTGGTTCTTACGTCGTTTCCGTACTGATTGAAGAAATCGTCCACTTTCTGTAAAGTGTCGATGCCGTCATTAACGTTCTGGTCTATTTCTAGTTCCGCCCACAGACTTGCACCTATTAGCCCTCTGTAGGGAGAGAAGCGATAAGAGTAAAGATGAGAAAGAGGGAGGGGGAAAGAAAGAGAAAAGGAGGAGACAGAGACGAGGAGAGGGAGAAGGGAGGGTGGAAGAGTGAGGGAGAAGAAGGGAAGGGGTTGAGATGTGACATCAAAAGACTGAGGGGGGGCTCAGTGAGAGGAAGTGAGGTGGGCAGAGTGTGAGGTGGCAGAGTTAGAACAGAGGTTTGAAATCACTAAAACCTCACCCCCACACCACGAATGTATGCAATACACACACACACACACACACACACACACACACACCAATGCCTCTGATGATATTCATGACTAATTTGCATCCTTACTTCAAACACACACATAATTATAACAGGTCATACATACAGTAAGTAGAATACACATCGAACAGTACCTAGTACCTGCCCCTTCAAACTGTAAGTATAAAGTTCAGTTATATTAATCGTGACTATTGTTCACAGCTGAGACTGCGGGACGTAATGAACACCAATTCATAGACGCCACGTACCAATTTGATATTCCCCCCGAACTATGGTCTTGGCAACACTTTATCGTTAGAAATGCTCCATTTCTAATGTACGTATATACACACCTATAATATGCTGTACATACGCATGTACTTGCAGACTGAAAATTAAATTACAATTTTTCGAGAATACCCAACATGAACACCTGCACAGATAGACAATGCTGTTATGTATCTGCCATGTGACACACACCATACATACACCACCGGCACATGTTTTTACGGTGGATTTGTATAGACGTCCATTATACCCTTCAGAGAAGTGGTCTGTACATACAGTAGTAATTGTTCTGTACATCTTTGTCTCATACTGAAACACTTCTACCAATAATTATCCCTGCTTATCCCCTCTTGTTAGCTGGAGATACTATGGCCTCTTGAGAGAACCACTAACCTCAAAGATTGAAAGGCTCTAGGAAAAGGAGGTATGTAGGAGGGCATTCACACACCAGCACAAAGGAAACTAGCAGTAAACTGAAATTGGTATGTCACGCGTGAACATCCCACTACCGCAAAACAGCAGAGACAAAGAGAGAAGGGAGGGAGTCTTACAGGAGGATAGCGATGATGGAGATGTTTAGGATACCACACCCGATTTTTGGTTTCTTCCCCCATTCCCTGGACCCACCGCAGCAGCAACAGCAGCACACGCAGATGAAGTAGATGGACATCAGGATGAGGATACATACACATATCAGGATGGGGACACATGCCCATATGATGACAGCCTGCAGGAGTCAGGTAGGGGGGGGGGTGACGTTGGTAAGGTAAACAGGATAAGAAAAAGAGAAACACACACTCTGTAATGAGCTGTTTGTGTCTTTGCTAAGGTGACAGCGACTCTTGCTATGAATGGCCGGTGGTAAAGCGGCAGAACAAACAGAAGTGTCTGACTAGGTGGTGAGAAGTTATTGGATTAGCCACCGGCTTTCAGAGCAATAGGTGGGCAGTTTCGACTGTGTTGTGGATACCAGAGTGCATATGAGACACACCTGTAGTCCCTACTCAATTCACAAGCTTCGACATTATTTTGCTTCTTTGGGGCCTAGCTACAAGCTATCACTACATAATGTGCACGTATCCTTATGGGCCACATTGAAGCCTAGTATACTCACGACTGACTCAAGAACTATATTGTTGCACTACTATCGGTTACTGTTGCCGCATTACCTCCCAGTACTGTTGATTATCCGGCTGGAACTGGTCCGGACTTTCTTGCAGATCGATGTCCGTGTGCGGAACGCCGTGGAAGGCGTCCACGGCGCTCGAAGCCTCGAACCCGCTCCCCGTCGGACAGGACATGGTCAGACCGGCTCTCTGAGTCTCTCAGATGAACGCTATATAGGACCACAATTCCCCGCTCGCTTCCCTCTGCGACAACAGTTCTCATGCACGCATACACGAGGCACCCCCACTTTTTGATACGAATGCGGAATGCGGATGCGCATACGTAACTTATAAAATGACTACGCGCAGGCGGATAACAGGTTTATATACAGGCATGGTCATGTACACACTGAGATGATGTTGTTCATTAGGCCACATTACGTTCTAACAGTCAGTAGTCATAGTAATGATGGTTGTCATAGTGTATGTTGACGTGATGCTGAGAGTTGAAGTAGAGACGCATAATGACGGGGAGAACGAAGACACAGAGTCCAAATATCACAGCAGCCATCCCCCAGCTCTGGGCCTTCTTGGAAGCATTCTGTGCTCCACTGTAGTTTCCCAGCCTGTACAGTCGATGCACCTGCACACGTCAAGATAACATATTAGTTTGTTCTGGGTGCCTTCAGTCCAGGACGTCCAATAGGCAAATATTAGCCCCACTATAGTGCCTTGAATATTTTGTGCTATTATAATATTGGTAGTCTAAAGTCACCTCAAGGGAGCGAAAGAGGGCCACAATGCCCAGTGGGAAGCAGCAACACAGAAGACCAAGGAGAGCCAGACAAAGGTAGTCATTGGGAGGAGGGGGACGTGCGGATTGAGCACTTCCTCCCATTCCTCCGTCACCTATGAACACCAGGTGCTTCCCTTGTGGCTGAGAAAACAAGAGAGAAAGATGGGGTTTCACACATTTTTTCACTCCCCAAACAAAAATCTGCCGTGGTGAATTGAGAGCCCCTGTGTAAATCACCTCTTGAATGAGAGTGGCCGCCACAGTTTGACCATCCAACTGTAACTGGACTGGAATTCCTACCGGCTTTACTTCAGAGTAGGCCGGCAGTTCGTAGGCAGGCGGCTGCTGCTCTGGAGGCACCATCAGCGGGTGATGGAGTGGCACGGACTGCAAAGCGGAGGGCTGTGGAATCGAAAAGATGATCCTGACACGGGAAGTTCACTTTTCCTACTTGTGGCGGAAGCTGGGGAGGGAGAAGAACCGGAGGACGCTCATCTTCGCTTTCTCTGGCGAACTCTCCCGACAGCAGGGTCTGCCGCTCTTCGGCTGCGCGGGGGAAAGCGACAACAAAGAGTTTGTCGCCGACCGGACATGATGTACGCAACAAGCGGTTCTATTCACACCTAGCCCATTCAACGCTGGTCACTCCACAGCTATAGCTACACCAGAGAGAGAAATACTCACCTTTTGTCTCTTCGCTCATCTGTCGTCCTGTCCTAGAAACAAGCCAGCGCAGCGAAGCAAAAATTACGTCATTATTACGTAATGGTTATGTACAAAAAGAGGGGATGACAAAACAAACGTGGTATAATTATAGTGAATGATAAACAGTTCTTCCCAGTTTACTTATGATCAATAGCTATTAACGTCCACGGTCTTCTCAGCGTTCATGGCGTTCATGGCGTTGATGGCGTAAAAAATGACCCCGAACCAAATTGCCACTCCCACAATCAGGAGAATAACGTTGACGATGATGGACCAACGATTGAAGGTCCTGGCACTGCGTGTAGCAATAGCAGCCTCCTCGTGTCGACCCAGTGTGTAGGCAGTCCGGGCCTGCCGTAAAAATTACAATCCCATTATTTTTTTTGATAAGGACGTGCAATTATACGAAGGATTGCCAAAATTTGCTATATAGCATTACATTCCCGAGTGTCTTTCTGTTTACACCACTGTAGCTAGCTAATTATACTGTACTGTACACATTATAGCTATACCTCTATGCTCTTGATTAGTGCAATAATCCCAAACGGCATAAAGCAGCAGAAGATGGTGAACACGGACATGTATAGCTGGTCCCCGGGCGGGTAGCCCACCAAATACCGAGGTTTGCGATGCTTGACCGTCGCCTCGTCAGGATAGGCAGGAGGCGAAGCCTCTCCGTCACGAAGGAGAAACTTCGTTTCTGGGAGGGAGAAGGTCCCTTAGTGACATTATACTTGAACCGAACCTTTTTCTTTAGAGCTCATCAGTGTACGTGCTCAGTCGAGTTGTGAGAAGACAGAAGATCAGAACCGACTCGCAAAGCAAAGCGCATGCGCGCATAAATTCCAGCGCAAGCGAGCACGTGAGCATTTAACAATTATTATTATTGATGCAATTTTCATAGAATGAAGCGTACCATTATGTCCACACACACGAATGTTAAAAATGGTCTTTCAAAAATCCCATCAATTTGTTGGCTGTCAATCTTTGGTATTTGTAGCGAGGGAAATCTGAAACGGGATGATCCAGGCCATCTGTATGAGGAACACCAAGACAATGATGATGACGTTCACAATGATCGCCCAGCGGTTGAAGGCCTTGGCCGAGCGAACAGCAGCGGCTGCCTGGTCGTGATGACCCAGCTGGTAAGATGTCCGGGCCTGCCCGGTGGAAATGAACACTCATAATCCACAGTTACACAAAAAGACTAACTTTGCAGGATAAACTATTCGTCCTACATTTTTGTCCATATGTACCTTTGTGCCATTTACTGCCAGTACTGTCTGTTTTATAGTATATTATACCACTTTACTTCTATGCTCTTGATGAGTGCAATGATCCCGAATGGCATAAAACAGCAGAGGATGGTGAAGATTGACATGTATAGTTGGTCTCCAGGTGGGTAGCCCGTGTACCCTGGCTGCACCACCGCGTACTGCGGCTGGGGCTGCTGGTACACTACCGCCTGCGGTGGTGGTGGTCCGGAATAGGCAGGAGGAGAGGCCCGCTTGTCCGCAACGAGCGATTCTGTTGCAGGATTGAGGACAAATCATAGCCTAGATCTTACAATGAAAGCATGCAGGCAGTCTGAAATTTATAACTCAACCTTTTTCTTTAGCAGTACTCATGTTGAGAGGGATCACTGGGTAAAGTAATACACACACACTTCTGCACTCTTGAGGAACTCATTTTCAAGGGACGCCGCCCCCTCGCTGATCACATGACAATCGTAGAGTTTTCGTTCCCATAAAGCTGGGTGTCCAGATCTGATTCCGCCCTGCCACACGCGCAACACGCGCGGCCCGCGAGGTGTGCGCAGAGCCACACTTACAGCAGCCCAGAAAAGAAGAGAGCTTCGTTTTACTTGACACTTCTGAGTACCAGATCGCAGGAACCAGAGGGAACTATAGAAGCCTCTGTCCGGCCAGTTAACGTGTATAATCCAGGGAAAATGTCGGCAAAACGTGAGTTCACACACTGCTATCCATTGCGAAGGTGACCTCTTTATCCTGCTTCTCGCGTGAGATGTGTCCGGCTACGGTGTTCGCCCGCCGTTTACGCAGCGCGACTTCTGTTCTGTTCTCGGACTAGTTTTGAAAAAGCGATTGGCATGTGTGTAAGAAGTCCTTCTGGCAGCCATATTTCCAATAGCTGCATCCCTAACTTCTCTCTAACCCCTCTCTCTCTCTCTCTCTGTGCCTGTGTTGTTGTGTCTGGGTGTAGCAGCTCAGCTGAAGAAGATGAACCTGAGCAAGCAGCCTCGGCTGCCGGGCCTCAAGACGCCTGGGTCTGCGACCACACCCACCCCAACGAAGCCCACAAACGGAGGAGATCTAATCAACTCTGCCTCTACTCCAACTCCGTAAGCGTCATGAACTCTGCAACTATTTGCTAGTGTTTTTTCTGCTGCAAGACGCAAAACCTCTGGTTGCTGCAGCAGTATTTACCTAGCTGTTCAGGTCCGCCTTATCAAAACTTTCACTATTGTGATAATATTGTGAACTGGCCCAGTCAGCATTGGAAGGCGAAGCGCAGAACAACCTTGACCTGCGGCGTGTGCAATGCTGTCACTTTGCACCCTTGATGTCCTTTTTACTCCCCCACCCCCTTCGTTAACTACAAATTCATTCATGTTGCGTCTGTAGTTGAGCACGCCTGTTACATACATTCTTTAAAGGCAAGTGCAGTATTAATTGCCCGGTGTCTTTGTCAGAGGTTGTGTGACAACGCCATGTTGAGCTAGCCTGGATCCTTCAGTTAGGGGAAGTTCACTTTCCTTGGAATGCCCACCCTAGCTAACTGATGCGTGTCCATGTGGTTTTCAGCTCCTGACTGGAAAGAGCTTGGGGATTTTGGGCTCCAAACCAATGACTGTTTCATTATTATTTTACAAATGTGTGTGTGTGTACTGTCAACCACAGGTAGAGTCTCTTTTACTCTAATTGCAGCCCACCAGCTGCTTCCCAGCGAGCCCTCTCGAATCCTGGCCTGGCTATGGACGAACTAGTCATCAAGGGAAAGGTAGGAATATGTATACCTGCTATTAATAGTTTCACCTAAATGCGAGTGTCATGCTTTGTTTAACAAACGTGTGTGTGTTATACAATACACATAAAATAGCACGTAAACATGTGATTTAGCCTATTTCGCGAATACTAGTGTTCCTTTTAAATTCACTTACAGAGCATGTTTTATAGTCTTGAAATTTGCAACAAAACAACAAAACTCAGGTATCTCCGTTTCAGAAGTACAGATTTACTCCGGATGATCTGGAAGAACTGGGTCCACTGGGAGCTGGGAACTATGGAACTGTGCTGAAGATGAATCACAAGGCGACGGGGACAGAGATGGCCGTCAAGGTGCGTTGTGGGGAGGAAGAAAGAGAGATGGAGAGGAGGGGAGGGGAGGGGAGGAGAAAGGGAGAGAGAGTGTGTGTGTGTGTTTTTGAGGAGATGTTTCTCTCTCCTTCTTCAGAAAATCCCGGTCCCAGAGCTGCGTGTGAACCAAAAAGACAACATTGTGGAGTTGGCAGTGGTCATGGGAACTGGCACTTGTCCAGATATCGTTGAGTACTATGGCTGTCTCATCAGAGAGGTATATGGGGGCTCAATGGGTCTGTATGTAGGGACTCAGTAATCATAGGACCCCTTCTCTACTACTACTATATACTTACTACTTGATGGTGGGGAGATCCTAGGGTTTTTACCTAATAATTCAGTGGGAATTATGTAGAGGAAGGAAAGGGGGAGGAGGGGGAGTAACTTTCCTTGCTCTGTATTATACATTGAACTTGTAGTGTGGTGTGTTTCTTACTGTATACAGTGGAACCCCTCTAAGCTCCCAGTGGACCCAGTTCTCAATTTTCTTCTTCTTCACTTCTCAATACATAGAGAGGGGCTCCACTATAATAATGCCCTCTTCCCAACGTATGTATGATCACCAACCCACCAGGGAGATGTATGGATATGCATGGAGCTCCTGGACTCCAGCATGGACAAGATATCCGACAGAGTATACCAGCAACTTCAGTCCACCATCCCCGAGGAGATTCTTGGGAAGATGACCGTCTCTGTGAGTATATATGTCGCTATGTAACTGAAACCGGTGTGTGTGTGTGTGTGTTACCTGCCAAGCATTGTGCTAGTGTAGGATTGATTCAGCATGGGTGGATGACTTTTTCAACTGCATGGCGATGTAGAATGCTCTTTTACTAAATTCAAAGCGTTGTATCTGGCTACTCCTATATACCTTGTTTGTTGATGGTGTGTGATATTGAATGTGATAGTGGTGGGAGGAAGAGGGAGGTAGAGGGAAAATTTGGGACTGAGTGTTAGGGAGGGACCGACCGAAAGGGTCAGGGGGCTTTTCTTCATGTTGAAACTGGATCTGCTGAGTGAGAGCAGAGATTTCCGTCATTGGTATGATGACCTTTTTTGGTTGCAGGTTATTCGGGCACTCAACTACCTCAAGACAGACATGAAGATCATCCACAGAGGTGAGCATATGAAAGACCAAAATATACGGCAAAACTTTGTTGCTTCATTGAGAAAAAGTTGTCATGTAACTTCAATGTATTGGTATAATAGGTCTAGGCAACATGTTCCACGCAAAAACATGGTTGCATGGCTCATCATGCCCATACATTATTTCAAGCAACAATGATCGGACTTTACTCGCTCTCTCTCTCTCTCTCTCTCTCCCTCCCCACCCCCTCTCTAATTATTTCGCTCTGTAGATGTCAAACCGTCCAACGTCCTTGTCAACTGCCTCGGGCAGTTCAAGTTGTGTGATTTTGGTATCGCCGGTCAACTTGTTGACTCCATTGCCTTGACGAGGGACGTTGGCTGCCGGCCGTACATGGCGGTAAGTGTTCATTACAAGGCACACATTGTTTTTAGCTGACTGCAGATCAAAGATGTTGACAGCTTCCACAGCTGTCCCTCTGTTTACTCATCTCTCAGTACATAAACATTAACCTCTCTCTCTCTCTAATTGTAAACACTACAATATAAGTAGCCTGTCTGTACACAAGCTCCTGGCTGTAGCATGCAGGAACCACTGTCCATAGATGGACAATGCAATTTTAGCACTCAAGAATTCTCCTTCCTCTCCCCTCTATCTCCAGCCTGAAAGGATTGACCCCAGCACTGCCGGCATTGGCTACACCATCCAGTCCGACGTCTGGAGTTTTGGAATCACACTGGTCAGACCAACCTCCCTGTTCCCATACTCCATACTCTGTACTCTCAAACTCCAGTCTCAGATGTCATTTCTATGTCCCATTCCCATAACTGTATTCTCAAACCTCCACTCCCATACCTCGGTACTCTATATTCCCATACCTCTGTACTGCACCTGTGTGCACCTAACACTCTGTTCCCATTGTTCCATACACTTGTACTCTCAAACCTCCATTCTTTCTCCACGCAGGTGGAGCTGGCTCTGGGCTCATTCCCGTACGGGAAGTGGACGACGATATTTGAGCAGCTGAATGCGGTGGTGAATGGCCCCGCCCCCAACCTCCCGGAGAACGACAGATACTCTCCCGAACTGAGGGAGTTTGGAGCTGCCTGGTACGTAACGTGTGTAAAGGCCACACCTTGAACAGGGGGTATATACACACACCATGAATACCCTGTGGAGCCACATTCTACGTCTAACTAGTAACAACATGTGTGCCACGTGCTTCTTCTTAGAGAGGCTGGGACATCTTGTGTGTGGTTACTATTTCTGAAGGAAGAGGGTTGCCACCAACGCTCTGTCCCACTTGTGCATGCAACACTAATTGACTGAAACGTGATGTCGACTGAGTTGTGTACATGTGTGTATATATCTATTCTCTCTTTACCGGTGTGTGCAGTCTCATGAAAACGGCCACAGAAAGACCAGACTACGAGAAGCTAATGGTAGGCACATTGCACGCACGCACACACGCACGCACACACACACGCACGCACAGATGAAGGTATTAGACCATGTGATGCCAAGAGAAAAAAGATGCGGAGCTCTGGAGTCTGGACAGCTGCATGCACGCACGCACACACAGTACACTGAAACTAATGGCTCTTTTTTCTGTTGCCGAGCAGGAGTACGAGTTCTTCAAGAAGTACATCACCGCAGAGGTTGGTGTGGCTACCTGGCTGAAAAACATTGGCATCATCGAGTAGCCTAGCAGCGAGGGTGTGGCATTTTAGGAGACAGTAAAAAAACTTCACATGTGCACATACAACACGGCAGGAGTCTAACTGTTGCATCATCGAATGCCGAGTGTGCTATTTTCCTCTCCTCTGCACCTCAATTCACCTTTGTTCATTTCAGCACGTTTTGTAAAAAATAATTGCACAAACACTTGATTTATTATACTAACTGTGATGTTTTGTTGTTTTTTCCTGATAAACTGTTTATTTCACACTTTCAATAAAACCAGTCAATGAACATGGAATAGAAACGGAATAGAGACGATATGTTTTGACGGGGAGACCATTTATGGAGGTTAAAGGTCGATTGGCCAGAAAGTCATGAGAGGGAGAAAGAGTTGTTTGTTAGTTCTGTTCTCGCCAGCAGTTCCGCTCATGGGAGGGGCTGGGCCTCCGAGATAGGCCGGCATTATCTCCAATCTGCAGGGACAGATCCATTCTGAATGACAAACAAATCTCTCAAAAAAGTATTGACAGAAACTAAGATTATTCTGTCAGGGATATAATATAGTGACTATATTTTACACCAATGTGACAGAAGAATAAGGGTTGATTTTGGGGCAAGAAAATGGAGAAATGTGTCCTTAGAGAGGGTTCCATTGAGTTGCCCCTGACCTGATGACGTTATCAATGAGACCGTTGGAATCTCCGTCCACCATGACAGTGAGTGGCTCCTTCTTTGTCTCCAGAGTTAGGTGGTTAGTGTGGTAGTTGGTCTGCTCTGTCAGTCGAGACTGGAGGGAGGGGAGGCAGTGAAAGAGGGGTGGACGAAAGAGGGGTAGACAAAAGAGGGGTAGAGGGAAGAGGGGTAGAGGGAAGAGGGAAGAGGGGTGGACGAAAGAGGGGTAGAGGGAAGAGGGGTAGAGGGAAGAGGGGTAGAGGGAAGAGGGAAGAGGGTGGACGAAAGAGGGGTAGACAAAAGAGGGGTAGAGGGAAGAGGGAAGAGGGGTGGACGAAAGAGGGGTAGAGGGGTAGAGGGAAGAGGGGTAGAGGGAAGAGGGAAGAGGGGTGGACGAAAGAGGGGTAGAGGGTAGAGGGAAGAGGGGTAGAGGGAAGAGGGGTAGAGGGAAGAGGGGTAGAGGGAAGAGGGGTAGAGGGAAGAGGGAAGAGGGGTAGAGGGAAGAGGGGTAGAGGGAAAGATGGCAAGGGCTCTGAACGTTCAGGGTAGACAAATAAAGAGGGATTGCTGAACTCTGAGTTTGTGTTGCTCTCACTTTTATAAACCTGTTGCCTTCTGAGTGTGCCGTCACCACCGACAGTTCGAAGCACTCTGACTCTGTAGGGAAGGTTTATGATCGTGTGACAGTCACATGACTCAGAGGTGGGTGTGTCCTCAGTATATACCTGGGTTGGCGACAGTTGGGTCTGAATAGGAGGGAATGTTGGACGCTCTAACAGACACCACCTCTTTCAATGGAGTCACGTCAGATCTGATGTAGCTACCGTCCAGTGACAGCTACAACAACAGACAAAATTCTCAAGCCGTGAAGGGGTCAAGAGGTTAATTAATAAAGCATAGCTGTGCTTCTCACATGTAGCATCTAGCATCTGCAATTAAACTCTTCCATTTATGACATGCTCCCATATGGAAAATGAACTAAGAAAGCCAGAGTGATTCGATCAGTCTTGTATGCGATGTAAAATTTAGCAGAAACAAGCACAAAGCTCCTGGCTCACCTCAGTTAGCTGGAGATTGGCCTCAAATGGCTTGGCCTGCCGGTGACCTAGTGTGAAGTATACAATACACAGTATTAGGGCATCATCCAGAACCCCTTCCCCCTGTTTAGCAATTTAAGTGGAAGATTAATCAACTCCCCATCCTTGTTTTGCTGTCCTTATCTTGATCTCACCTGCATCTCATTGTCCCAATTCTTATCTTGTCTAATTTCGCTGTCCCTCCCTCCACCCTCCTCCTTATAAAGGGTTTTACTTACTCTTCTTGCCGGTCAGTCTCTGGACGTCCAGTCTGTGGAGCATGTACATCTCTCTGTTGTCCATCTTGTGCTGTTTCTCTGTCTTCAGAATCATCTGGAGACATTCACATATTATATGTGGGGTGCATTTGCTGGCTCAGTCTATATACACTACGTGTATTCTAACTAAGACAGAAAACTTTATCACTTGAAAAAGTTGGCCACTGGAAAACACTACGCATACTATGAAATCCGTGAAAGGTTTTTTTGTCATTATTGTTACGTACCTTTATTTTGTATAGCTTGGCTCTAATGCAGTGGTTAGCCTCCCTCAGATAGTGAGCCACTGAATCAATCAGAATCTGGAGATAGACGAAAAGAGAGAGAGAGAGAGAGTTGTGAGGATGTGAATGTTTTTGCTGTACCTTAGAAGGAGTGAGTGGAGGTCTGATGTGGTGAGCGTCACTCGAGAGAGGCAGAGGAGGAGGAGGAGAGAGATTCCGATCCATAATTGGTGGGAGGAGTCTCAAGGAATGGTGGACGGCCAGTGCTACATTCCTCTCATACCAGCTGTCCAGGTGGGACATGTATCGGCCGATATTCACGTCGCAACCACAAGTGTTTGCAGGCTCTCCGACAACTGCTTCGGGCGAGTCTCTACCGGCGATTGCGGAACGTTCCGGAACCAGCCAGTCGGCAGTCGATGCCGTTGAGAGAGGTACGTGATAGAACCTCACATCCAGCCCCGTCAGTAGATTAGGCTCCTCTGCCAAGAAGTAAGCATAGGCCTTTGCAGTGTGGCAGACTAGCTGGTCGCTACCGGCGAGAATGATTTTCAATACTCTGTATTTTGGTGAGTTGTCGTGGATCGGGGAGCCAGCTCCACCAAGTGCAACTTTATTTTTTTTCTTCGGTAGAGACATGCTCCCTGTCCGTGTGGAGAGAATTCGACTCCCGAGAGGGATGGCCGAAGAAGGGACTGTCGGTGTACCTGCGATGTTATGGTACCCCTTCCGTGAGGTCCCATACGAGGGGGCGTGGCTGATGATTGAGGTACGGGTACCACGGTTACGAGGGCTGGAGGATGGTGGGTGGAGTTTTGCCGGGACCGTCTTCCTCCGGATTAATTTCCCCCTCCCCCTCATCTGGGGCGATTGGTCCGACGAGGAAGACCCATGGCTGTTGGGGGTCTGATTGAAAACCTCGTCCGATGAGTTTTGGCTCCTGGTAGTCGTGTCCCCGTTCTGGTCCTGGGAATGGAACGGCGACGGAGCAATCTCGGTTGAAAGCGACCGTCGTTTCTTGACATGTGTCTCTTCTTCGCTCAACATCGGCGGTGGGGAAAACGAGGTCACGGGATCAGGTGACATCACATGACCCGAGTCCGGACTAGCCACATGATTATCACATGACTCCACGTCTTCTTCCTCCTCCTCCTCCTCCTTGCAGTGACCGTTACTCTGAACCACCAGAGTGTCGAGTCCCCCAGCCTCCGAAGCTTCCTTCCCTCCCGTGAGACGGTTAATGAGTGGTGTTCTGGAGGTATCGCCCTCCACGAGGTAGCTGCTGCCCGTGCTGTCCATGCTAGTCTGAGAGAACGCTCTCTTACTTGTCACCACTGGAGACACCTGCTTCTGACACTGCACCAGAACCTCTCTCAACTGCGAGAAAAAAAGGGAGGGAGAGCTGTGAAATTTGCCTGAGTTTAATCAAGACTTTTGCAAGGGTCGGGGAATATCTGTGAGTCTTTTCTTGGAAACATTTGTGTGTAGACACACATTTGGACAACCAATCAACGGGCGTTTACTTTTCCAACGAAGGTTTTCCCATAGAGCCCAGCCTGCATGCTGAGCTCCTATAGTAGCTCAGTAAGAACAGAACAATACTAGGAAAGCAGAGTGCCATGGGTTGAGTCCCACCCCCAGGGCAGCTCTTATTTCTTGGGAGGAAAAGTGTCACTGGCTTTGCATTGCCTTGCTACTACAGTTCATCTACAATCAACGATGATTCTATTGCTGGCCATACATACCTTTGCCTGGACCTGAGGGTACTTGCAGGGGTCCAGAGTGTGGGTGGGAATGTCTGGGGAAGGGAGAGGGAAGATTCCGAGTGTTTCCTCTGAGAGGTCGCGACCTCCGCTCTCACTACCTCCACAGCTCAGTGCACTGTCCCGTTGATCTGTACAGACACGTGGTTACGTAACTCTTAGCTCAAGATTGGGAATAGCCGTTGTGGTTTATTTTCAGAAACTCGCGAAGTTTATGAGCTCATGATCTAAAAAACACACTATGCATGTGAGTTAGTAATCATTTGTCATTGGCGAAAGTTTCATTGCAAAATGTAGTCACGGAAACATTGATTGACGTGCAAAAACAGTACACACAACGTACATCTGCGTACAATAACACCGCGACGCAAACAACACAGACTCAAAAACATAAACACTGTATAGTTATGCATATGTACGAAACGTCCACTCGATTTGCGAGTGTTTGCCTAAACCTTAGTTGTTTTTAGAAACACATTATATACAAACTCTCTCAGTGCATTCATATAATATACACACATTTCTGTTGTTATATACTTAATGCTCCGTAACCATGTCTACACACACATAAACCTCCAATGGTCGGATCCCATACCAGTTTCATGTATGATTCTCTGGTGAATTTTGTTCATCTCTGACACAATGTCTTCCGGCATGCCGTCACTGAACTCCCCATCTTCCCTCGTCACTCCTCCCTCCATCACCTCCACACACTCACAACACACACCCACCAGAGCCTTCGGAGACAGACGCTGAGGGGATGAAGCAGAGGAGACAGGGAAAAGAGAAAGAAATGGGATAGTAATGCACTCTATCTTCCTGCACTTATTTCTATCTAGCTTCACCAATCTTTCTTTCACCTCTTTTTCGCTGCAAATTCACCCCCAAATGGGTTCGTCAACGATTTGCATTTTGTGTAGGAGCATTCGGGTGCAAGAAGAGACAAGTCAACCATCCCTAATACTTTGACTATGTTGGACTATGGAATAGTGAAGCACTCTATCTTCCTGCACTTTTCTATCTAGCTTCACCAATCTTTCTTTCACCTCTTTTTCGCTGCAAATTCACCCCCAATGGGTGTCACGATTTTGCATTTTGTGGTAGGAGCATCGGTTGCAAGAAGAGACAAGTCAATCCTCCCTAATACTTGGACTATTGTTGGACTACGGAATAGTGAAGCACTCTATCTTCCTGCACCTATTTCTATCTAGCTTCACCAATCGTTTCTTTTCGCCTCTTTTTTACTGCAAATTCACCCCCAAATGGGTGTCCGATTTTGCATTTTGTGTAGGAGCATCGGTGCAAGAAGAGACAAGTCAACCAGCCATAATACTTTGACTATTGTTGGACTATGGAATAGTGAAGCACTCTATCTTCATGCAACAACTTCTATCTAGCTTCACCAATCTTTCTTTAACCTCTTTTCGCTGCAAATTCACCCCCAAATGGGTGTCAACGATTTTGCATTTTGTGTAGGAACATCGGCGCAAGAAGAGACAAGTCAACCATCCATAATACTTTGACTATTGTTGGACTATGGAATAGTGAAGCACTCAATCTTCATGCACTTATTTCTATCTAGCTTCACCAATCTTCCTTTCACCGCTTTTTCGCTGCAAATTCACCCCCAAATGGGTGTCAACGATTTTGCATTTTGTGTAGGAACATCGGTGCAAGAAGAGACAAGTCAACCATCCCTAATACTTTGACTATTGTTGGACTATGGAATAGTGAAGCACTCTATCTTCCTGCACCTATTTCTATCTAGCTTCACCAATCTTTCTTTCACCTCTTTTTCACTGCAAATTCACCCCCAAATGGGTGTCAACGATTTTGCATTTTGTGTAGGAGCATCGGTGCAAGAAGAGACAAGTCAACCAGCCATAATACTTTGACTATTGTTGGACTATGGAATAGTGAAGCACTCTATCTTCCTGCACCTATTTCTATCTAGCTTCACCAATCTTTCTTTCACCTCTTTTTCGCTGCAAATTCACCCCCAAATGGGTGTCACGATTTTGCATTTTGTGTAGGAACATCGGTGCAAGAAGAGACAAGTCAACCAGCCATAATACTTTGACTATTGTTGGACTATGGAATAGTGAAGCACTCTATCTTCCTGCACCTATTTCTATCTAGCTTCACCAATCTTCCTTTCACCTCTTTTTCGCTGCAAATTCACCCCCAAATGGGTGTCAATGATTTTGCATTTTGTGTAGGAGCATCGGTGCAAGAAGAGACAAGTCAACCAGCCATAATACTTTGACTATTGTTGGACTATGGAATAGAGAAGCACTCTATCTTCCTGCACCTATTTCTATCTAGCTTCACCAATCTTTCTTTCACCTCTTTTTCGCTGCAAATTCACCCCCAAATGGGTGTCCGATTTTGCATTTTGTGTAGGAGCATCGGTGCAAGAAGAGACAAGTCAACCAGCCATAATACTTTGACTATTGTTGGACTATGGAATAGTGAAGCACTCTATCTTCATGCAACAACTTCTATCTAGCTTCACCAATCTTTCTTTAACCTCTTTTTCGCTGCAAATTCACCCCCAAATGGGTGTCAACGATTTTGCATTTTGTGTAGGAACATCGGTGCAAGAAGAGACAAGTCAACCATCCCTAATACTTTGACTATTGTTGGACTATGGAATAGTAATGCACTCTATCTTCCTGCACTTATTTCTATCTAGCTTCACCAATCTTCCTTTCACCGCTTTTTCGCTGCAAATTCACCCCCAAATGGGTGTCAACGATTTTGCATTTTGTGTAGGAACATCGGTGCAAGAAGAGACAAGTCAACCATCCCTAATACTTTGACTATTGTTGGACTATGGAATAGTGAAGCACTCTATCTTCCTGCACCTATTTCTATCTAGCTTCACCAATCTTCCTTTCACCTCTTTTTCGCTGCAAATTCACCCCCAAATGGGTGTCAACGATTTTGCATTTTGTGTAGGAACATCGGTGCAAGAAGAGACAAGTCAACCATCCCTAATACTTTGACTATTGTTGGACTATGGAATAGTGAAGCACTCTATATTCCTGCACCTATTTCTATCTAGCTTCACCAATCTTTCTTTCACCTGTTTTTCGCTGGGCCTTCCCCGAGTGAGAGAGAGATTGTATAGTGCCACTGGGGTTGTAGACAATATGGGCTCTATATCCTACTTGACGTGCACACACAATATTACACTAGAACATTCTATATAATTATCACGGAGACTGTGTGGTACATTTCCAGACCTGAAGACGTGTCTCCAGTTCCAACATCTCGTGAGTTGGAAACACAGACTTGAAACAACCTGGAATTGAGTCAAGGCAAACACAACTATCATACAGATTGGTCACGTGAGGATCATGTGATGGTCATGTGATGAGGGGGATACTCCTAATGATCATGCGATGAAGTGCCTCGGAGGTCGGAAGGTCGTGTCTGTCGGTGAATACACCAGAGAACTGAGCACCGTGGCTGGCAGGGGTAGATATGTCCACTAGCATGTGGACCAGCTGACCTCGGATCCTGGGAATGGAGACATGGGAGAATGGAAACGTGACGGAACGGAGTAATGGCAATGCAACAGCATGGAGAATGGGATCATGACAGTACGGAAACTTGATATAAGACAGCAGGAATGGACTACACCAAACAAACAGAAATTATAACACCTCACGCATGATGCACATAAAAGCTATATACTACATCCCTTTATAGTATGGACAGCATTTCTACAGTATGGGGCAAATGGTACACGTCTGTGAGTGAAATGGTAAACATCAGAGGAATGCTGTGTATCTGTGATGGTACTCCCAAGTGTTTGACCGTTTGCTTGTAGAAAACATATTGTTGTGTGGGAACTACGAGTGGGCAATGGGACAAGGATACGGACATGTGGGGAGGTAGAGGAGATAAGAGAATGGAATGATACCAAAGAGAAAGAGAGGGGAAGGGTAGAATAAAAAGAGTCAGTTGAGAGAGGGATAGGGTAGCCCAGGCCAAGAGTCATAACAGACAAATGAAGCAGAATTTAGCTACTACTGATACATAGGAGAATACAGTGTGTAGTGTGATAGACAGACAGAGAAATGAGTACAGTCATAGTATTGGAGTACAGTATGTAGTGTAATAGACAGACAGAGAAATGAGTACAGTCATAGTATTGGAGTACAGTATGTAGTGGAGATGTAAACAGATGAAATGCCTAGCTAGTATAGTATAGACAGCCTAGTATATAGTACAGTATGTAGTAGAGATGAAATGTGCCTAGTATTATAGTACATACAGTATGTAGTAGAGATGAAATGCCTAGTATATATAGTAGAGACGTAAATGCTTAGCATATTATAGTACAGTATGTAGTAGACAGCTAGTATACTAGTAGTAGAATGGGTAAACAGATCAGTTCAGAGAGGAGTGAGCACTCACTCGGTGTTCTTCAGCTGCAGACCAAGGCTACTCTCCACCAGTAGTTTCCTCCTGAAACTCGTCCCGGATACCTTGCCCTCCGTGGCCAAGAGACTCAGTAGCCGCCGACTGCATTCTGCGTGGGACACTGGCCACATGTAGAACGGCATTACTGCCATGTACGCCTCGCCTCTCTCCACAGGGAATTGCTATAATATGGCGGACAAATTTTGGGGAAGATTGAAATGGTAACCTGATAGGCTCTTGTCTAATTGCCAGGTATTGTGATGGTAAGTAGAGCGAAGACGATGGAATTATATTTACATGATAACAGCTGCCTAATAGCAGTTCTATGAGGCTTATAGGAGCTGGAATTGAATGGACCCCAACCCATCACACAACATAAAACTTGCTACGAATAATTGTGTGTGTACATAAATACAATTACACGGTAGTTTGATAAAATGGCTTATGAGGAGGATTATTATAGTCTCGTGTCAGCAAAAATTGCATAGAGGGTGTGGCCTTGAACGTGTTAAAGTTAAGGAAGGAGTGACGGATGAATGGGAGGGGTGGGCCCTAGGTAATTACCATGGTGACAAGGTCTCGCAGTAGCTGGAGGAGTGGGAGGAGGCCCTCGTGGTCTCCCTGCTCGGAGCTAGTCTGCCCGTGGACCGCCATGTTCCCTAGACACAGAGTGACGTGGCGGACGACCGGACCTCCGGTGAGGTGGCTCCTGGTCGTTAGGTCTTGGAGACCGATGTACGACAGCGCTTCACTCACTGCACGCAAACACAGATACATACACACAGATACATACACACAGATGCATACATACACATGCATACATACACATGCATACATACACAGATGCATACATACACATGCATACATACACATGCATACACACAGATGCATACACACTGATGCATACATACACATGCATACACACAGATACATACACACTGATGCATACACACTGATGCATACACACTGATGCATACACACAGATGCATACATACACATGCATACATACACATGCATACATACACATGCATACATACACATGCATACATACAGATGCACACACATACATAATATACACACAAAATAGAGGAAGTATGTGACAAGAATTCACATAAAAGACCTACTTCACTTCAAGAGGGTGTACAAGCCAGTTTCAACACACTTAGCTATGAACATAATAGAAAGATACTCTACTTTTGTGAGGTATCAATTAACACTAATTGGAAGGGAACTTGCATGCTTTTAATCAACATTCTTCCTATTGCTAAGTCGTGTGCACGCACGCACTGCTTTCAAAAGCATTCACACACTAACACCGAGGTGCAGAGGTTTTTGATCGCATGTGTGTAGTTCCTGGTTCAAGTAAATTCATCTTGTTTTTCTAGTCAAGTGATTAACGTTTGAATATCAGTAAGTTAAATATACCCATCGTGTCGTCTATATAAGCCACCCCCTAAAGCTACCGTACATTAAAAAAACCTAAATGACTCAGTGTAGAGTTGTACTTGCGTGCATATTGGCTCACCTGAAGAATAGATGCATAGTTTGCTGACTTCTGGCGGGAGGACTCCAAAATGGGCTCTGCGGTGGTTCTGACAGCACAGGTCCACCAGTCGAGTGAGGATCTTCGACTCTGCCGCCTCCCCCTGGATCGAGAGTTGGGTCTGGGGCGAGTGGACTATCGCGTCCTTCGACTGTGCCACCGAGAACGGAGAGAGGACCTGGGAGGGCGGAGGAGAGAGAAAGAGAAGAAAGGGGTTGGAGATCTGAAACAAACACTCAAAACAAGGTTCTATGAGGCAGCGAGAATAGTACAAGTCGGGGACGGTACACATGAAGGGAGTGAGAAGAATCACACACGCTATTATGCTGGCTCACTGACAGTTCGTATGCTGGCACTAGATGTTCCCATACCAAACATTACATCGACAACCAGTTCCAGCACAAACATACTACGAAACCCCCCACCCCCAACCAGGGCTGAGAGAAGCCTACTGACAGCTACTGCAGAGGGTTTCCCTCCCACCCAAAACCACAGACACACGGACTAGACTAGAAATCATTAATATTTATGCCCCCAGTGGAAGGACACCACTGAAATGAGGACACCTTTTACTTCTTAACCTCAGGACCTCTCTCTAAAATGGACACTTTATTCTGTGCTATTGGTAAGAGATTCGCAATTTACAAGAGAGATAGTTAATACACTGCACAATCGAGAAGCCTGTGAGGTGAGAAAGTATGATTTCCTGGGTCACAGTTCGGGAACCAGGGCTAGTGACCATGATCTCAGAACCCACCAATGCCAACTATACCATGACCTCATAGTGATGTAATGCATAGACCACTGATCACTCAGTACCACTCTCACCTTTTCCTCGAAAGAATCTGCCAGTTTGATGGAAACATCTCCACTGCCTTTGTTGCGAGCTGCAGTGAGGAGCAGGAAAAACAAACAAGTCGGTCAGCCGATGGCAATAATTTCAATTAAATTTCAGGGAACACACTGATTAATTACGCCCTGCTTTGAAAAACACATTATCAATGCTTTTGTCATCATAATTCTGTCTCCTCAATACATTTATGTAATACATATCACCAGAGAAACAGCTACAGGCACGGACAGCGGCTCAGGGGATATACCAAACCATTCGCCAACTGGCTCTTTTGACGTCCATCAAAACATTATTAGGTCAGACACAAACTAGCTCAGCTACAAGCAGGACACAGCACTGGTCCATTTTGGCACACAAACTATTTCAGCTAGGACACAGTGAATATCTACTACTGCAGGCAGAGGTAATTCTGGCACCCCTGTCTTTCCAAACATCCTTTCTGGCTACATAACTAACGCTGGCACTTCACTGTCTGTATGCCTGCCCACCCATTCCTTCCTCCACCCCCTCCTTCCTCCACCCCCTCCTCCCTCTCGCCCCAAACAACACAAGATGATAAAGGACCCTCAGAATACAGACCACCCATCTAGAAAGAACTGAGTCCTACAACACACGGTATTACTCTGAATAATGGAACACCTCTCAAAAAAGAACACACTTTCTATGTCCCCAAGGTGTCTCATTATTCCGAGGTTTCATTGTGCATCTCCCCCCCCATGTGTACTCACCAAGGTTCCAACGAAGGTACATATGCCTGAGGTGTATAGTGGGCCGATACGAGTAGAACTCAGTCAGGAAATAGATGGTCGTCACTATTGCATGCTGGAGCTCCAGTGAGAAAAGGGTTAAGGATGTGTACACCCATCTCATGAATGCGTGACATAGTTTATGTGTGGGATTATAGAGTTAGTTTGTATCCTGGTCAGAGGAAACATGAAAGCTAAACTAACATTTGCACGGTCACCTAGTCCACACACGACAACGATGAAGGATATACAAAGTCGCTAGAACAACAGCACGCACAGAAGCAAAGGTTCATTTACTACACAGAGTACTATGGCTCCCGCATGCCTGTGTATACATGTGTGATCGAGTGTATTACAGTCATGGATGCCTTACAGGGAGGTGCTGGGGGGCCAGTAATAACTGTGGCGAGTGCATGCGCTCATGTGAACTACACATCCAATAAACCAACATCTACAGAGGCAATACAAAACCTTCAGTTCCTCTTCTATCTCTCGGTTCCTCGATCATTCTCCCTCTCTTACACCCTCTTTTACTAAGTAGTGTCAGATGTGTTAGACAGTGAATGTTATTATTATCCCCTTTCCTTCCTTCCTTCCTCTCTCTCTCTCTCTCTCTTCCTATTCCCCCCTCTGTCTAAATCAGAAAGGATATGTGCAGCAGGTCGTAGGTTCTCTGGAAGAGACTTGCTGGCCCAGGATCTGTACTTGCTCTGGTCCATGGGCAACTCCACCAGATCCCTGTATACACTGACCAGAAGATCCAACCCTGAGAGGGGAGAGCGGAGAGATAATGTAGGAGAACGTGTGAGTGAGAGAGCAAAGTGTTTCTTCATAATAATTATGTATGGGTGAATTAATAAAGGGAAGAGAGATAAATTTATGGAGCGGGTGACTTTTGACTTTTTCTTCATGTTTGAATGTAGAGAGAGAGACAGAGAGAAAAGAGGGAACGATTGGGGTATAAAGTTACTGTCTGTATTGATTGTTCCACGCAAGAGGCATCCAAGTAAAGCTCCAGAGACTAAGCTCTGGAAAGTGGAGACCCTATCAGTACTAATCACACAGTGGCACTTGGTATTCTTGGAATTAGCTACACCCTTCATCAGCACATTGTACGTATGAGTAGATAGTAGCTGTTGGGTCTAGGAAGCATATGGTTCTGCAGATGTCTGTGCATACAAAAGACCTCTGGCGCTCCACCCACCATACATTCTTCAATGAAGGTTGGTAGTAAGCAAACTCCATAGTTCCGCAGCTCAACCTTCTTGTTTGCATTTCCCCATCCGCTACAAAAATCTTAAGGAGAATGCATATGCTGGTGCAGATAAGTATTTTTACAGCAGTAGACTATGGAAAAACACGGATTCAGACCAGGAAAAAGTTGTGGTACGGACGATTTGTATAATTTTCCATTGCGCACGTTTGGAGCAATGTATGCATAGTGCCAGCGGAAAAAATCTTATTACTGGCGCACTTGATCTTTGATCACGGCAAATTTCGAGCACGAACCCCCCCACAACCACAGCACTTATTTTGAGAGTAGACAGAGAGAAAGGAGAGAGAAAAGTGGGGGTAGTTACCATGAGCACTGTCCAGGGAGATGAGCCGTGTCACCAGACAAACTATGAAGCTGCAAAGAAAGAGAAAAACATACAATAAAACAAAAAGGTATGCTAGTACGCATAATTCCAAGGAAGTCAGCCACTGTAGAGCATGTCTTGCTTGGAGCTCAGCTTACAACGAGCTACTTCGTCAGAAAACACGATAGCTACAGGCTCCACGGAAACCAATAACACACAGCCTCTGTGCAGTCAACGAGTCTGCTTACGAGTGCCGGCGCTTGTTATGGATATGGAGCTACAACAAAAAGCATGGGGGCTCCAGCAGCAGGCATAAAGGCTCAATACCACAACCTTGCAGCCTATTCAACTGAGGCAGGGCTGGCTAAAGAATCTGCAGGCCTTCTCCTCTCTCTGTCGCTCCACCTGCCCTGATGATTTTAGAAACTGCGACTGACTCACTTGCTGACTGCTTCATGGTCGGTAGCTAGTTCATGCCAGAAGTTCGGAGGAACCTTCAGCTCTCTCCGACCGCTCCCAAGAGTCGTGAACGGATCCACTCGTCCGCACATTGACAGGCACTTGGACTCGACTTTGGAGGGCCCGTTCACCGGCATCTTTACCCTAATCTAATCTCTGTGCCCACACTCGTCGCGGCGCTGCAATACGCGGAGTTCGAATCCGTGTGCTGTGCGTTTTAGCTAGCAAAACCTGTGGCGCTACTCTGTGGTCTACAAACTACACTGTCTCGTTTCACTGCACCTGGGCTATGAGAAAAGCGGGGCGTAGCCCTACTTTAACTATTCACGATCCGCCAAATTCTTGTCCTTTTTGCGCATGCGTTGTATATAAAAGGGTGAGAGAAGATTATTATGAGATATGGTGATGGTCAATTGAATGATAGTAAAACAATGATAATCTTGGTGACTGTTACCTAAATTGTGATTTCAAAAACCATCGTCCCTCTCCGTGAACGCGAGAAAAATCGCATATCTCGTGCAGCATGGAGCGAAACGTAGCCGTGTCTGAATTAGGGAGCCGCGACAAGAAATGACCCAAGAGTTCATCGGTAGTTGCCTGCCCATCGAATTTACACCGGGTGGCAATGAAATCCCTGATTTCCTGCATCAAATTGTCGTGGGCCGATTTGTGGACATCTTTCACGGCGTATTGTGGGAGAGAGTGAGAGTTTCTGCTTCGCATGGCCGACAGGAGAGAGGCAGACGAGGTGGTAGTGGAGGAGGAGGAAGAGGAGGGTGCTTGCTGCTGCTTCTGAGGAGACGGGAGTAGAGAGGTCCCGGCTTTCTGTCCATCAAAGAGTTTTGAAGATTCCGAGTATGAGCCCTGTGTGAAAGTGTGCGTGGGTGTATATACACTAGCAATGTGGATTGTATATAGAGTCCAAACCTTGGCAACCATCTGCTGGGTCTTTGCTCCAAACCTGATGAAAGGAGGGAAGCCGTTACTACCGGAGTGGTAAGGTTACTACAGCGATGGCCAACAAAGTATGCTTTTGTCCCACTACAAAGCTGTATATTACAAACATAACCAGGGCGACAGAGTTTTAATGAGTACTATTGCTGCTGCTTACTCCATTCCTCGTTAGGGCCACTAGTCCATTTTTGCAGATTGGAGACTATGTCGTGTCCACTAATAGGTGTATGTATGTCACTATCTTTGGTCTCTCACCTCAACTGCTGTCTTGACCCACTACCAGCAGATCCGTGCTGTCCAGTCCAGTCAGCTGCCCCCACCCTCCCCCTCCTCCCCCAAGACACCTCCTCCGCGATTCCCTCAGAGCTCTGGCGGCACTCTGCGCCACCTTCTTTGCCTCGTTCTCTACCACCACGTAGTCTCCACTGACACTGCTCATTATGGAGTCGTGCTGGATCGCAGAGTGCACAGCTGCAGACGGATACACACCACCATAAACACAAACTAGTAAGGTGCATACATGAACTCCTGTTTTTACCAAAACTGCCCTTCAAGATTTGAATGTGATAGTCATTGCACAGAGCCACTAAAATTTCAATTGAAAATGACAAATTGCTGTCTTCTATCATATATATTTGTGCTATGCTCCTTAATGCCCTGATAGTGTTATATATTTCACCTCTCACTTTCCCTTGATAAAGAGGACAAATGAGAGATAGTATAATATTCTAGTTGAGACCTGATTTCTTGAAGAGTTTTGTGAGGATGTAGTCGTCATGGCTGCTACTGGTGGCCTTCTCTCCCTCCCCCTCCGGCCTGAACAGCCTCTTCTTCTCCACTCCCGATATCTCCACTCCCTCCACCACCGCGGCCGCCGTAGAAGACCTCTTTGTGCTTCTTCTTCTTCTTTCTGTGACGGTGAGACTTCTTCTCGTTGCGTTCTCTCCCTTTCCTCTCCTCTGTCTCCCCACTCTGAGTGTGCTCCAAGCCACAAGAACCAGGAGATTGGACAGGTCTGAGGCTCTCGGTTTGACTCTGCCTGTTTTGGCAGGCCAGCTCTCCCGAGGAGCCAGTGAAGGGGTGTTCTACTTGAGCAGAGGGACCACCAGTCACCTCATTTCGAGACTCCTCCATTCCCCCCACTGGTCCGGCAGAAACAGCGACACTCCCTTCTTCCTTGCCACCTTTTCCATGCTCAGCTCCTCTGGAAATTTCAGCCAAAAATCCAACTGAAAATGTATCGCTACTTTCATCATTCTGTGGTCTAGAACTGGACGAGTGGCTCCGGGGCTGATTCCAATACTTGGGTCTGCCTGGGTTTCCTCTGCACGTCTCCATTCCACGTCCCACTCTCTTCCCCACCCCCAACCCCTCCACGATCATGTGATCCACCCCCGAGGTCATGTGACTCACGTGAATCGTCAACAGAGTCACGTGACCTCTGTCGTCGCTTCTTCTTCTTCAGTTTCTTGGGGACCACGTCGGACCCGGTCCCGGCAAAGATGGCGCTTGTCTCGGTGGCTCCCTTCGGGTGGACCCCACCAAGGGAGAAGAGTTCGTAGAGGTCGTTTGCCTTGAAGAACCGCCGCTGTTTCGGATCTTTCAGCACACGATTGCTCAGAAACTGTTTGAAGATTTGCCTGCCGGGAGAAGAAACAACTTTCACAATCCGAGCCTTGCGCATTGTAGCATTCAACCGCAGAATTTCTCTAGTCAAGATACATTTTGAAGGTATTAGACCATGTGATGTACACATGGTGTATGAGGTGTAACAATACTGTATGGTGCAAAACATATTCGCAAAGGAAAGTGATGCAGTGGCAACACCACAAAAATTTTTCAGGAAAAATATATTGGGCTTAGCTCAACCTTTATTAAAAAAAATTAAAGCAACCAAGTTTTATAATTTCTCCCAGCCTTGCCTGTGGTAGATCTTCTCCTCAATGGTTCCAGATGTAATTAGTCGGTAGATAGTCACTTGCCTCTTCTGCCCAATCCTCCATGCACGCTCTTGAGCCTGCACACCATTACATCACATCTCTCTTTCAAAATGTATACGTACAGATAGCGATGATGTAATTCGGAATAGAGTGGCATTATTACATTGTCCCCCCAACCTATTGTATGATCTCTAATGTATCTGTAGAGACAGTGATGATGATGTAATCTGTAATAGGGATTCCATACCTGTGTATCCGTACTCGGGTTCCAGTCAGGGTCATAAATGATGACGCGATCGGCTCCGGTGAGATTAACCCCTAGCCCACCAACCCGTGTGGTGAGGAGAAACACAAAGATGGAGGGAGTCTGGCAAAGATTGGCCGAGAATTTACCTCACACGACATCATCATTACACAATCATTACCTCATTAAATTGTCGTATGAGTGGCTGGCGGGCTTTAATTGGAGTGTCTCCGTCCATCCGGAGGTATGTGTAGCCCTTGGCTACCACCATAAGTTCCATAATACTCAACACCTACAGCACACCATGTAATCAATATTCAAGCCACATACACAACACATTGATCAGCAGGAGACGCATATCTGTGCAACTGTATGTAGAACCACTATTTCGTGTAATCTTGGATGGGAACACTACAACAGAGGTATGTACCATGGACACAGCAGGTATATACCAGAGGCAACAATAGGCTCACAATAGGCACATCAATTGCACAGGAGGCACAGCGAACATTGTTATGAAAATGCAGCTATATACACAGCCAAAGCCACTGTTGTTTCAGCAATAAAAACGAGTTGTATATGTATTGTACATATGTATATAGACTACGTACCATCTTAGACTGACTGAAGAGAAGGACACGGTGTTTCTGTTCGCTCCACATCTTGAGCAAAGCCTCGACCACAATCATCTTCCCCGACCTCTTTCCCCAGCCAAACCGTTCTTCCCTGTACCTTCTCTCCCCCTCCCTCTTTGCCTCGCTACTTCGGGTGCTCAGCCGTCTCCTGCGTCGCTGAGGTCTCCTAGATCTGATGAAGGCCGTTTCATCTGCATCCTCCCCCTCCCCCTCCTCCTCCCCATCTTCTCTGCCATTGGTGGCACAGTCACGGTAGTCATTGGTGACCAGGTCCGGATGATTGCATAACTTTCTCAGCACTGTTAACCCGGTAAATATCTGACGAGAGGAAAGGGTCGAGCAACCCGACATTGCATAGAATGACTTTTCGAACTGTGTTTGTGAATGTTTTAA